TTTGTCCAGCTACGTTGTAATATTGAGGAGACTGAAGGCTTGAAAGATCTCTTGGATTTGTCATCCAAATCTCAGAAGTCTCAGACTGTTGTGCCAGATAAGGAAACACAAATCAGAATGAAACATAACTGACAACACGATGTTCAGGAAAGACTAACATACTTATCATTACCTGAGGATTTGGAGTGTAGATATTTCCATCTTTGTATTTCATGCGAGATGAATCTTCAAGCCCTGTAGCGTTTCCAACTACATTGGGAGAATTCATTGGATACCCACTAGGATTGTTGTACGTCTGAAAACCCGTATGCCCACTTGTTGCAACTGGTTTGAATTGCTGATGGATCCCATACTTGACACCATTTGAACCGCCTGCAGGCATCAATACATAGCCATTTCCATTTGAAGGGTGTGCATATGCTGCCGGGTTACCTGAGTACCCTGTCATGGGTACCTGGGGTACATAGAATGGGGAGAGGAACTGGCGATAAGGCATGAGATTGGGATAATGTGAAACATGAACCTGTGGATACATCTGTTGCATTGATGCCTGTTGTTGTTGCTGCAACATGGGAATAGTAGATGGAGGGGCATTATTCACCATGTGAGTACTTAATACCTGCTGCATTATCAAAAGAGTACCTGATTAGTTTTTCTTGGTTTATGAAATGAAAAAATAAGTAACCAACTGCTCAAAAAGAAGCTAACTAGACTCTTACGCATCAACTCATGCTGCCAAACCAGTAAAACTAATAATAGAAACATAAATTACCTCCTGTGGAGATGGTAATCCTTGACCTCGCATAGTTTCATCGGTTGCAGGATTAAAATAAGGAAATTCATAACCACCATGATGATCATATGCCTGCTAGAAAGGAAGAACATGACATTTTTGAATGAATTATCTTCCCTTGAATTAGTTACAATTTCAAGAAACCTTACAGAGAATTTTTGCAACTCGGGAGGATCTTGCTGCTGTTCAAACTGTAAAGGAGTATAAGGTGGACCATTCCTATTGAGTGATTGGACTCCTGAGTACTCATCCAGATTATCAGATCTATTAATTTCTTTCTGTTCGGGTAATTGTGGCTCAGATACTGGTGAGACGGGTGACTCAGACGCAGAAATTCTGACATGATCATCAAGAATATTGATAGGCTGAACGTCCGGACCATCTGTTGAAGCTTCAGGGCAAGAAACTGGCAAACTGTCAAAAATATCACCAAGTTATCTGGGGAAGGATGGAAGAGATCTCAAACTAGAACCAAAATGGACAAAAACAAACAAAGACACTAACTGTCAGAACTTACCTATGATCAGAATCTCTAAGTTCTTCTAAAGAGCATGATTCTTGAATAGCAGAAGCTGAATTCCTAGACGAATCGAACTCTTGAACAAAGCTACCAAAAGTCAGGTGACAGCGGTCAGTCTCCGGGATGCGAATATGATCTGCGATGATGACATTCTGACTTTCACTGATATGAACATGCGAAAGCTTATCTTGCAACTCAACGGCTTCTGATTCCACGTTTATGGAATTATCAGCAGGCCGACGAGCTTGAGACTTTGTAGGTGTTCCAATTACTCCAGGGTTATGTCCAACAGGTTTCTGAGTTGATTTTGGCTTCCACTCCTTGTTCTGAGAGACTCCTGCATTAAGTCCAGGTTGATCAAGAATATCAGAAGTCATGAAAAGAAATGGCTTCCACCAGAACTTCCCAGTAAATTGAAAGAAAGAATAACATTAACCAAAACAGAAGCTACATACAGAAAAAGTTGCAGCCAAGCAGAAATCAAATAAAGATTGCCCAACATCAATTCAATTAATAAATAATTGGTATAAAGTGTTACCCTTTGTATGGCCACCAACTTGTTGTGTTCTGGCATATTGGCTTCCTCTATTCCCACGCTGTCTGTTAAGAAATGACCTACTCTTTTCCACACCGCTGGGCATATTAGGCTCTCGTGCAGTAGTTTGACTGTGATCAATCTTTGGCGTTGGGGAAGATGGCCGATATGCATTTGGAGGCCCATTTTTTCTAATAGTGGACCCTGGAAAAGATCGGACAGATGGCTCTTTACCAACATTTTCAGAAGGCTTTCCAAAACCACCACCCCTTACTTCACGTTTAATAGCTCCCACTGGTGATGATCTAGAAACAGGAGATGGTACATGAACTGGATCTGTGGAAGACGCATATACACCAAGAACTGAATTGGTTGGTGGCAAAGTAACTCCACCAACTGTCTGCTTTCCATCAGAGAATCCTTTATTCGTAGGACGGTGCAAAGGAGCGATTTCAGGCTGCCTGGGCCTGACATCTGCTGCTGTATTACGATCGTCAGTAACATCTTGAGCCCCAGAAGAGTCATGATTGTCCAAACCACTTGTTGAGCTGGCAAACAATGAAAATAGAGCGACAATCTTATTTTTTCTCATTTGAATTCAGCATAATTTGCTTGAAATTATAAGATATCTAGTCCTCTTAGGCTTTCTGTTTCCCAAGAAGAGGACATACACACTCCTATCTCCGTCTACCAGAACACAATAGAACAAAACAAATGTATGCCTTTTTTGTCTTAAAGAGTCCTACTTTACTAATGTTTTTGGAAAAGTACAACTAAAACAAATAAACTCCCTTATAATGACATTAAAAACAGATCATTAAAGAATAAAGAGTAACAACGATACCATGCTATTTCACATGTACAACAGCAAAACTAAGCAAGTTAGCGACTTAGCGATAAAAATTATTGGATAAGAACAACAGGACATAATACAATTGATCATGCATACCCCTTTTTGTTCACAGTGGCCACCACTTTGTTAATATTTGATCCAGATGAATGTTTCAACTCTTCATCAACATTTGGATTAGACCTGTTGTCCCTAACAACACGAAACTCTCTGTTGGATCCTGCACTAGCATGAAACGAACAAATTATAAGCATACAGAACAAGATTTCTAAGTGAATATAGCCAACGCATTACACAAAACTGCAAGGCCTCACGCCAATCAAAAAGATTTATATATAAGATCAATGCACAGCATGCATTACACACCAATTTCTTCTATTATTCCTTGACCTGCATATGTTTTCAGGATTCAACAAAGTGCATTTTATGCCCCCATTATAGGATTATGTTTATGAAACTCAAAGTCAAATTGATATAAGATAAAGTTTTTTAGTATAAACACTTGAAAGAAACTGGGAAATATTATCTTCAAATCGATTTACCAGTAGCAGGATTCCTAGGAAATGCATTCCGTTGAGCAGCATTCCTGGGGACGAAATTTCTATGGTAGCCTCCTCTCCTAACATTATATTCAGGCTGTGTACGAACTTTTACTTCACTGGTAACACTTTCAAGAGGTTTCTTTCTGTTGGCCGGCTCAACAACTACTGTATCCTGAAGTCGAAGAAAAACCCCTAAAAGTGATCAGAGTTTATACAAGATAGAGGTTGCAACCTAAAAGAAGTATCCTAATGATCTCCAGGAATTTAGTAAACTATTTGAATGGCTAGAAAAGTTGAAAAGGTTTTCGACAACCCATTCAACTTAAGGTACACAAAATAATTATACTAAACACCCGATGAGATGTGCTAGTAACACAAGCACTACTAACACGATGGAAAATCTAGTCACCTTCTTTCCAACAGCATCATCAAAAAGGGTAAGGAGTGAAACTTAAAAACTATAACGTGATGGTGATGGCATTGGCACAAAGGTAGAAAAGAGAAGAATTGGGAACAAGGTACCAAAAAAACATCGGCAACTTTACCTCTTTCTTCCTGTCTCTTTTTCTCTTCACCTCGTGGAATGGATCTGATAAAAAGAAAGGCTTTAGTGCACGCAAACACAGATAAAAGACATCATTTTGCAAACAACAAAACGAGAACTACAGAAAATGAAATTTAATCTCAAATTCGGAGGCCGGCAATCCAATAGTATATCAGATATATAATAGTTTAAGAATTCTGGAGAGAACTGACAAATATCGAAATGAAAACAGGAACCTAGGATTTATCCGTCTATCGATTGTTCACCAGAACCCCATAAAACATGACCAAAACCGGAACTTAGCATATCTATCTTCTGCATTGTACATATGCCTCATACCAGATAAAAGAGGGCGCAAACAAGATGTAATAGCATTCCTCGTGATCACGATAAGAATATCAATGAGGAAGGCAACAACAACAACAAAAAAGAAGAAGAAGCAAATAGTAAAACCCCAACTTCCGTCAAAATAGAAAGTGAGAAACAGATGGAAAAGAGAAACCTTGATGAATCAGCTTCTGCACAGCCTCGTCAGGGTCCATGTTAGCTTCTTTTAAGGCAGTGTAAATATCGGCATCGGAGTGATTACCCACAATTTCCTTAATCGATTGAATCATCTTTTTCGCTCCATCATCGAGTCCTACCCCACGATTACCGCTAGTTCTGGACCCAGTCACCATTACGGATCAAAGCCGTATCGAATAACCGCAACACACAACAACAAAAAAATACAGAGAAATTCAAGGATCGAGTATGAGAGTATCTAGCGAAACGAAGTGCGATCCGCGTAGGCCAAGTGAAGATGCTATTGATTTGACTCTTAAACCCTAAAATCGAATAGAGCACTAGGGTTTCAAGTACAGAGAGAAGAGAGCAGAAAAAAAAATTTAGGATTTGGGAAAACTAAATAGAGAGAGGGTTTATTCTCCTCTCACGCGTCAACCCAAAAAAAAAGAAAAAAAAAACCTAGAAAAAATTGGTTCCAAATGGCAAATTCACTAAATTGGATAACCCAGAATGACTATTTTACCCTTATAGATAATTATCATTTGTAAGTGAGAAATGGAAATTTCTAAAGACATAGTACAAGTAAGCTGCACTTACTATTTAATTGATACGATAAATTACATACCATAATCATTGTCCATATAATTAATGAATGAATTACTAGAAGAGACAAGTGTACATCTTTCTGATAAAGTGCAAAGTAGTAATATTGTCATAAATAAATGGAAAGATGGCCATTGAAATAGTATGAATTTTCCTAGAATTGGTCTATTATATACATACCCTTACTAGTAACACCAAGAAAAAAAAATCCACTGAAGGAGTAAAACTGATACCTCTGTATAGAGATGTAAATGTAAAGAAGAAGAGAAAGAGATCTACTAACAACCACCAACTAAAAGGTACATGCAGCATCTGAAACCCAAGTTATTTCCATCAATCTGTAGCTTTTTTTTTTATCCGAGTAAAACATACAAAAAGAGAAGTGTTTTGTTTTGATGTGTCCAAGTTCCTCTAGAGATCATCCCATCTTCATCACAAGTATTGTTGTTGTATGCGAGCTCTGTTCTGCTCCCACCACAATCTTGCATTCGTTTCCCCAAACTTCTCTCGGCTAATACCACACAGAAAATGATGTTAAGTGCTTGCTTTTCAAAATGGTTTTTTAGTAGGAACAGTGAAAGCGTAATGTCCTTTTACCTGAAGCGAACCCGTCTAAGCTCCCGAGTCCCATCTGGTAAAGCTCTGATTGTGATGTAAACACCGGCTTCGTCCTGTTCAACCCATTCAGTTTCAATGTCACTTGCATTACTTACAGAGAGCTCCCCTGAATGATCTGCTTCTTCTCCTTCTTCTTCTTCCCTTGACGAGCTACTTCTTGCAGACTCATCAACCGATGATGTCTCTGTTTTGGTCCCACTTATGCTAGACAGTTTTGGTGTTGTAGCAAGACCAGATGAATCTTGGTGTCCATTTCGTGTTTGGGCTGTTGGTTGGTGAGTGAGTGAGTCAGAAGAAGCGTACCCTTTTCCTCGAGAGCTTTCTTTGTTCAGAGGTGGAGTTGCAGGACCATTCTTGCTAGATGGAATTCGTGAGCTCTGGTATACCAAACTAAAACTAGTTAGACCTCAAGAGATCAAATACATGTTTTGATGAATGGATTCATGTGTTCATAAGTGAAGCGAGAGCATATACCTCATCTTCTGATCTAGGAGGAGTTGGAAGTGGGACGCTCTGCTGATTGAACTGCTGCACATTGTATAATTCCATGACCTTGTCGAAATTCTCCGCCCACCACTTTTGAGCTTGCCATTTATCAAACATTTCACGGCTGCAAGCAATACAAATTTACAGAAACCAACAAATTAGAAGCTGCCTTAAGCATATACAATACAGAACACCATGACAATAACAACCAAGTTAACAGTGCTATGTTCAACAGAAAACTCAGAATCTGCAGTAATTGCCATAATGTTCCACTTTTATGAGGCCATGAAGAAAGTTAGTTAGATCTCCCTTGCCCTCATCAGATTTTCCACATACAAAAAGAACTTTTCTAAATTCACCAAACACTTCCCCACACAATTGTTCTCGGGGAATCCATTTAAGTTCTGCACTAAATTCAACTACCAAAATATAGCCCACATCTCAAAAACCTTTCTTGGCAAAAGGATGTACAAGTTCTCATTATTACAGCAAATGTTTGGGGACCACTTGAATTGAATCAAGAAAAACGAAAGCAGCAACAGTTTCCAACACAGAAATCTCACATAATAATATCCTAAATATCAACCGTACTTCTCATAGCTGGTCTCCAATAGACACACATCTCTATTTCCAAAATCAAAATCAAAATCAACGGATTTCAAAACATTATGGAATAGTTCATTTCAGTTGTGTATCATCTGCAATGTCCCCTATCTAAAAACACAATGTACCATATTTTGATTCAGTTCAAGATCCCGACTTAACTTTGTGTAAATGCTACAAAACAATAAAATTACCTGAACCGAATCCGCTTCATATCATTCCCTCCCTCAGGCAATGATACAAATGTGATGAGGACACCAGGCTCTACTTGAGCAACCCATTCCTTAAGCTCATCTTCTTCCTCCATGAACACTGTGGACTCTGTCCTACCACTCATGGATTCAGGTGTTCCTTCTCCACTCACAAACCCTTTCAACCTTGACTCCATTTCCTTGCCCAAAATTTTCGGTGTTGAGCTTCCACTCCCTGCTCTCTTGTAAGCATAACGAAACCTCCCAGAATTTGAAGCAGCATCCGAATCAGCGTAGCTTCGGTTCTTATTCTGGTTTGACGACCCTGAACACGGTTTGCAGCTTTTATAAGCACCTGATGCTTTTACTGCCATGTCTTTTATCTGAAGAAGATTCACATGGCATTGACAAAATTAAGTGCGCAGAATTAAAACTTTTTTCTTATAAAAAAGAAGACATTCTGAAAGTCACGGACTTAAATTTGGCTTCTAGAGGTAAGAAAACTTTTCCTATTTCGTTGAAAGATCAGAAACCAAACAGTACGCACAAAATTTGACTTGTTGATTTGTTCTTAGCTTACAAACAGAAAGCAACAAGAACAAAATGGTCCTGTCTCGGAGTTTCTTTTCATTTTCTCATTTGTGTTTTTTTCCTTGTGAAAGTGACACAGAGGAAGAATGTTATCTACCTGTGACGTCAGGGACTTAATAGGTTGCTTAGACCTGGGCGTTCCAATAACTCTGTCTTCTTCATCTTCATCTTCCTCTTGTCTCTTAGATCCACCATTGTTGGTGCTTAGCTGCTTCGAACAAGCTATGCATGTCAGCATATCTCTCTCTCACCCTCCACGAAGTTTCAAATTCAAACTGAGTATTAAGGAGAAGGAAACACGATCAAATCTAAGATAATAGAGCCCTTTTGTAATGAAAAGACTAGCAATGATTTGTACCTTTATGCGACACAGTAGTAACGCACTTGGCCTTCAATATAAAACACTCGCAGGTCGGTAAATTCGATTGCTTTTACTCTTTTTGCCAAAGAGATTCAGATATAGAACTCCACCATTGAAAAGGTCAGTCAAATGACGGCAAGGGAAGGAAGAGACCGTAACAGCAGCGGTAAATTAGGGCACCAGGATCTGCAGATCAAACCTAGAAAACGATTTCGCATTAAAAACTCTTTTTTTTTTTTTAGGAAAAAAGAAACTCTCTCTGTTCCTTGCGGGTTAAAAGCTCTTAACACAGAGAGATTGAGTGAGAGACACTCTTAAATCTTAACACTTTATGAAATCCAAAGCCGAATGCAGAAGCAAAATGCAATAAAGCTACGAATTTTAGGGAGAGAGAAAGAGAGAGAGAATGAGAAAGAAGAAGAAGAAAAAAAAAAGAGAGGAACTTTGATATTTGGGCTTGGAGATCGTCGGACACTGTGAAAGTTTGCGCACAAGTGTTGTATTTTGTTCCTTCCTATATAAAGCTCTCTACACTCTTTTCTTCTTCTTCTTCACTTCAGCAACAAATTCACAACAACAAAAAGAAAGAAGAAGAAGCAGTATTGGTTATATTCAGATTCGTCTTTAACTTTGGTATTTATGGATTATTAATTTATTATGATTTATGACCAAAGAAAAAAAAACGTAACACAGTTTTTACTAACCAACAGAATAGTTCTACAGCTTTATTACAACTTTATCAGTAAGTAGATTTTGTTCAAGTTTGGATTCATTGTTTGGTTTTTTTATCAATGAAATATATACAGTAGTAAACAGTTTTATAACTACGTTAGTATAGTTAGTAGAAAAAAAAACTACGTTAGTAGAAACTACCCCGTAAATAAGTTTTACTGTTTGAGGAGAGTGTGGAAGAAATCGAACCCAATAAATTTTCAAATGTTATATATTCTCCTCTTTATTTTCCTCTCTTGTTTTTTTTTTTGTTTTTCAATACTTTCTTTTTGCCTTTTTCCTAAAGAACAATATTAAGCAACACATAAAAAAAGAAAAAATGAAGTCGAGCAAAAAAACATAATATCAAATGTGTGACCAGACCACATATCGACACGTGTATTGTTAAATGTTTCTGGCTGTCTAATTTTGCACCCAATTAAAGAAATAAAGTAACCAATAACTAATTCCAATTTTTGTTATCTGTCAATTTTCTCAATTACGAATTGTTTTTTCTCATAATTCTAAGACAGTGATAGAATTAGCCATTGGCGAATATTACTACTCGTTTAGCAAGTTACTCCTAAATCCCAATTCATTCAGCATTTAGAGACAACTAACTTAGTTGTTGTTTAAGCTTAAAACTAAACTGCATTCAATTGTTATGTAGAAACCAAAAAAAAAGAAAGAGAGAAAGAAGGAAAATATACGAGTATATATTGTCAGATTGGTCACAGGAGCGCCGTGAAGCAACGGGCGTGAATTAACTACACTGTGGAGGAATTTGTTACCATACACCATGTTTTTAAAAATTCAAACTTAAGAGCAACATTATCAAGGAGATCTTAATTTTTAATCTTATGATTAATTTATTATTAAATTTGAAAAAGTAAAGGTTAAGAGTTGTATTTTTGTTTTAGTTTTGAGATGTCTTTATTGGTAGGATCTTAAGTTGGAAATCTTAGCAAAAAATAATTTTTTAAAACTTAAATAAAATTAAAATATGTAATTTTAGAAACTTTTATAATTATTGCAAATTTATAATTTTAAACATATATGAGATACAGTTGATAAGATAAATAACATAAAACACAATAGTTTTAAACTTGATTTCTAGAAAATTTTGTCCATATATGCTCGAAAACACAATAGATTATAACTTTTTTTAAAAAACTTTTATTGGATGGTATTGGTAGGTTGATACTGGTATAACAAGAACAACATTTACAAAATGTTAAGACAATCTAAATACATTAAATTAAAAGGTCCTAAATTGTTCCAATTTTTTAATTTTTTAAATTAAAATATTAAAGCATGAAACAAGAAAATGGATTTTCGAAAGAATTTAAAAGATAAATGTTCAATAAGAACACATAACACAAAAAAAAAACCTTCCACCAATCGTCTATTGACACATGTCGTATCTTAGCCACAATTTTAGATCTTAATTAAGATCCAGATCTTAGCATAAATCATTATTTACCATTTAAATTAAATCCAAAAATACCAAATATTAAGTTAAGAATGAGTTAAGATCCCATTGATAATGTTGGTCTAATAGTATGGTCGTCTCTTAAGTTTTTTTAGGTATATTTTATAAACTTTGCTTTCTCTATTTCTTTCACTAAATAATACAGCTGAAACACTATTATTCTATTACAACCACACACCCAAAAAAAAAGATTTTACAGCCATGAATGATCAGATCGGATACTGCAAATTTTAATTTATTTAATTTTTACCTTGCCACGTGAATGGTCACTGTGTCTTCTTGGTTTTTTTTGTTATGTTCTGATACACTTGTATATATAGTTTGGTTTTGTTGTTTATTGTCATCCCCCTATATACCTTACAAAGTCATTCACAATGATCGTATAAAGAGACGTTGTATTCAGACTCCTCCAAGTCCAACTAAATTCATGCTTAAGTAACTTGATTATATAATTCACGTGAATCTCATCCGTTAATTATTTTTTCCTTGAAGATGATTTTTTTTTTTTTTGATTAGTTCATTTTATCAATTATGATCATTAGTATTTCATGCTTAGCTTTATGGTGACAAATAGTATATTGCACCTTCGAAACTGGGATAAAGTTATATAAAGTGCTATTTATCTATATTAAAAATAGAAGAACAAGTGATAATGATGAGACATGCAATGAAGCATGTAGTTATATTTTTAGATCCAAGCTTATAATTAATTAATCATTTAAACTTTATAGAGTTGTTTTTCCAACTAAGCCTATTACACTACTTTTTGCCCCCCACCTTTGTGTCTCTCCTTCAAACTTCAAAGTTCAAAGGCTTAAGCAATAAGCACTACTTCGTTTAAAATCCATTTTGAAAGCCAAGTTAACCTATTTATCCCCATCACTAAGCAACACCATGCACTTTTAAAAGTTTCATTTCGAATTTGAAGTATCCTTTTGCTCCAGGTTATGCTCTTTTCCTGAAAAAGAAAAGAAAAAACTCTTTATTCTTGCTGATTTTGAAGGCTTGATTGATGATCCCTTTATGTTTGTTTCATGTGTGTTTAAAGAATTAGAATGATTCTTTTTTTTTGACTTAAAGCATAAATTATATAATCAGATGAAGTTATATGAAAGTTTGACGTTCTTAATGGCGAAGGCAAGTGATGATCGATCGATCGATCAAAAAGACTGACTAGAGGAAAGGCGGCAAGTTGACATTTCTGAAGTTGTCCAAACCCAGTTTATAGCCCAATTAAAGCCCATTCAGGCCCAATATATTTTCTACTGTGCACTTCCGTGTATGTGATTTGCACTCTTTACACAACGATCTGTTTCGTATAGCTCTTCTTTCATTCTGCTTCTTGCTTGCTCAAAATCAAAGTGTGTTAGCTCAGCTCCGATCATTGTCTCCGATTCATCCTTCTATTTTGAGATTCATGGTGAATCGCTCACCTTCGCTCCCTCCGCGTAAGCTCTAGCTGTATCCGAAGCCCTATCTCTCTGTTGCGTTGGAATCTATCGAGCTCGTCCGTCCCCTTCCGGAGCATTCTTTTAATTGGTGTGCTGCAGCGCTTTGCGTTTCTGATCTGGTTAGCTCGTTGAGGTAAATATCATCTTCTTAGCTTCTTATATCTGGAATATTAGTTAATGTTCATTGCTTCTTTCTTCTTTCGCGTTATCGAGGCAGATTTTGGGGAATTTGGTGATTTAGGCGGCCGATTTAGGGTTTGTTTTACTGGAATGCGTAGTTTAAGCTCGGTATACATTAGGGATCCCATTTCTTGATTGCATCTTTAATTCACTTTAATGCCTTCCTTTTTTTTTTTGGCCTCTGGTTGTGCTGAAACTCTATGATTTGTTTCCATTTCTTCATTGCAGATGCATTGTTTGTGCTGAAACTCTTTTCTTGTTAATATTTGCGTGTGGAATAAACGTTACAATCAACACTATTTTGTTTTTGTTTTGTTTCATCCACAAACGTTCCACTGTTCTCTAGAGTAATCGGCGTGTTTGATGCATGAAGCCAACCAAGTGTTGTTGTTTATGTTTAATTTTTTCACTGATTGTATTATCCCGTTAGATAGTAATCATGTGTTTCAGTGGTAACCTCCTATATATATTTTCCGCTTCAGTTGAGCAATTACGTCTGTGATATTTAACAATGGCTATTTGATGCCACCAAGGGTTCCCATGAACTTAATTCTTCTGACTCATTGCCCTTTGGGACCTAACTATCAACATTTGGATTAGTTCTATTTTTTATTTTTTTTTGTACATTACCTTTACCTGACTATCTCTATATATATATATATATGTTTTTACCCCTTGTTAGTTTGAACAGTCTGAGGCTGCAATGAGTATCCAACCTATTCAGTCGGAAACTTCATCAAATGGGGCGCCAGGTTAGCTGTTCATTTTCTGTGATTTATCTGCAATTTGTCACCTTCTGAGTCCTCATTCTTGTTAATATATATTCAGCATTCAATGGGGAAGCTGGAAGCTTGGAGAGGCTTTCGCGTGATCGATTAGTGTACCTCACAACATGTAAGATCGGGCATCATGTGGAAGTGCATCTAAAAAATGGATCGATGTATATTGGTATATTTCATGCTGCTGATGTAGATAAGGATTTTGGTGAGGCTCCGAATCATAATTTTTTTCCCTGTAAAGCATGAAAGACGCAACCTTTTTCTTGCAACTTAGAAATTGCTTGAAACTTCCAGGAATCATTCTAAAGATGGCATGCTTGATTAAAGAAGGTACTTTACGAGGGCATAAATCCCGTTCCGAGTTTGTTAGAAAGCCGCCGTCCAAGACATTCATTATTCCTGCAGATGAACTTGTGCAAGTTGTAGCTAAGGTATGCTTTCTATTTGTAAACTAAGGGAAACATTTATTGTTTAAGTTTATGTCAGTGTGTTACATGGCAGAGAGACTACTTTGAGTTTTGACATTGTCATTACCTTTTATCATTGATTTTGGTGGTAGGATCTCTCTGTATCCTGGAACGGCATGTCAAATGCAGTTCAGAGTGAGAAGCCAATGGAGCTGTTGACAGACTCTTCTATATCACAGTCATATCATGTTGATAGGGAAAGACAGCTGAAACCCTGGGTACCCGATGAGAGTGTTCCACTGCGTGCAGATTTGGATAATGTGTTTGATAACCCTTGGAATAGGTACACACTGATACATATTTATTTAAACTTCCTGGCAAACTTATATTTATTGAATGTTTAGTATGCTAATTTGTCAGCTAGATTCTCAGAGCATGATTTCTTTAGCTGAGAATTTAGATTAGAGATAGTGGGAATGAAAAGATTATTCTTGTGCTTGCATTTTAGACTATGATTATGATATTCCTTTTGGAAATCAATTCTCTTTCCATATATAGAGCTAGAATTCTATTATTTAGTGAAAGCAATATATATTGGTGCGGAAGAGCCAGTGGGGAATTTCCTAAGATTAGGAAGAATACTGTTTTGATAGTTCTGACTTTTATATATATGAGTAATCTTTGCTGTGTGGTTACCTGGTTTTTTTTTTCCTGGATACCTCTCGTAACATGGCACTTTACTGCTGATATGCTCAGCTGACTCGTTTCTGCCTGTAGGAAATGGAATCAGTTTGAGGCGAATGAGTCACTGTTTGGAGTAAAGAGCACTTTCGACGAGGAACTCTATACCACAAAACTTGAGAGAGGGACTCAGACTAAAGAGTTGGAAGAGCAAGCCCGGAGGATCGCGAATGAGATTGAGGGTGAGACTACCCGAGATCTTCATGTAGCAGAGGTAATTAGAGGTTCCTATTTTGCATCTTGTGTCCTATGTTTTTTTTTTTTTTTGTTATAAGATCAAATTTCTAACCATTCTTGCCTGCAGGAAAGAGGCCTTAAGCTTAAGGAGAAATTTGATTTTGACGAGGAAGCCAGGTACTCATCTGTCAGTCGAGTTACTGGATTAGATGATAGTGGGTTGGATGAGGAGGACAATGCGCAGCTGGATACTTGCAATGATCTGACTTTTGGTAGTTCATCTATTTCTGATGGCCAGAAGCCAATTTCTAGTGGCAAGGGCTGTGAAGAATTACAGGTATGGTTTAGTTCTTCTTTGACAGTAGTTTATTGCTGAACGATTGGTGATATCGCCATTCTTTTTCTTTTAGGGTGACAGTCAATCTTCGCGGGATAATACAAATGTAGATCAAAGCTGCTCAACCTCTAAACAGCAATCCAAAGATCCACCGGCCGCAGGCAGCAGTATCAGGTCAATTTTCTTTTGGCTATTATGCTATGCATCTGAAAATTCATTTAAAATAATTTCTCTCACATTGGAAGTGTCTCTTGACATAATAGTGAGAGCCAGCTAGATGAGCGAAGAAGAACTAACAATAATCAAGAGGTTTCACACAATAACAGAGTAATGTCAACTCCATGTTGATTATGCCATTAATTATAATTGTATTTGTTGTTCTATTAATCTTAACATTGATTATTTGGCGTCCTTCTGTATTAACACAGTCAGCTGAGGAATCAACTTCTGGTCATGGAGGTATACACTACGTCCTTCTTACGCTATTTTCTATATATGACCTACTATAATTTGTTTTATCTGTTCGAACAATTGGTGTGCATAGAAGTCTGAACTTGTTTTGTTTTTCTAGACGTAGAAATACCTTTCATTTTTACATATGTGACTCAAGTTTTTCTCGATTTGACACTATTATTAATTATTACGTTTATCTCAGTGTACTATCTTGTGGCATTAGTAATATGCCAGGGAATGCTGACCTGCTATGAAACTTCCATCTAATTAGAAAATATGTTGTAGGCTTGATCATTGTATAAAATATGTCTTGTGGAATGTAGATATCGACGAAAGCGCAAAAAATGGTGGTGGTGCAGAATCTGCGTCGAAGGCTGTTACTGAGAGGGAAAGACAAGTCAGTCAAGGTTCTGGTAAATCAAAATCTGAAAGCTCTCCTGGGCAGTCGGCTTCTAGAAGTTCAGAAAGCCGCCCAGCTCCTTCAACATCAAGTCGTTCTGGGCTATCGCCAAGCTCATCAGTTGGTTCTATGAACTCTTCAGAAAAGTCCACACTAAATCCGAATGCAAAGGTTTTTTGTTTGATTTGTTCAAACTTGATCAAATGTTTACTGTGTGTTTTTTCTATCCACTAATTATGGGTCGTTGGGTGTGATCAGGAATTCATATTCAATCCGAAAGCGAAGAGTTTCAAACCAGTGCAACCAGCTGCTGCGAGACCTCAATCTCCAATCGCAGATGCCTCATTCTACTACCCTGCTCCTAGTAATGTTCCTCCTGTTCAGCAGATGCCTGGAATGCCGCCTGTTAATTACGGAGTAAGTTCCCTGTGACATGTATATATAAATATTAGTTATATAGCCTAACGGGGTTATGTTACTAAAACTCTCTCCGTGTGAAAATTGGCAGGTCCCGCCATATCCGGGCAACCAACAACCTATGATGTATTATCAGCAACCCTATTATCATCCAAGTGGACAACCCCAGGTTTGACACTAATACACAAACCCTAGTGAATCGGTATTCAGAAAACAAAAGAAAAACATGAAAAGTCTAATGGTGAGATGTTGGGATTATGATGTATAGTACCCGCAGCAGCAGCAAATAATGCCTGGTCAGCAGCAGCAGCAAATGGTGCATGGTCAGCAGCAGCAGCAAATGGTGCATGGTCAGCAGCAGCCTAGGCCTGTATATTACATGCCGCAGCAGCCTCCTCCATACCAGCAGGTTATAATTGCTAATATTTCCCTCTTTGTCATTCCTTTTTGTTTTGATGGTTAAAGAGTTATGGATGCTGAAATCTCTGCGTGTGTGTTTACAGGACATGCCGCCATATCATAATCAAGGACGAGAGTAATTAGTAGTACTCAATGGTGATGATGCTTTGTTTTTTTTTGGCGAAAGTGGACGTGAATGGACGTGAACGAACCCTGTGGTTTGTTTTTTTTTACTCTTCTTTCTTCTCTCTCCCTTGCTTAACTACTGCTGAAACCAATGTTTTTTCTTCTTCTTTTAGATTCCTCTTTATATGGTTTGGACAATTCGTTATGGAAAAAGAAAAAGATCCATCTGTAGGCTGTAGCTGTACCGAGTGTACTCTCTTTCGTTTTTTTTTTTTTGTAATAGAGATATTAAGTTTAGATTTATAGGTTTCTCTCTCGTCTTGTGTCTTCTTTTCGTCGTTGTCATTTTTTGTGTGTTATATATCTCTTACGTAAATGAAAAAGAAAAAAAAGGAGCCGAATATCCGTAATTACTACTACACACCTTAGTATACCTGTCCCATAGTATAAAGTGTAATTAATTACGTTGGCTCGTTTGCTTTTTTCTTATATTTCGTCGAGTCACCCTAACTCTAAAAGAATATTCCCTTGTCTATGTGCTTTACCCAAAAAAAAAAAAAACAGTTAATAATGATCTTGGTTAATAAGTGGGGAGATATATAAACTGCACTCTTCATCTTATGATCTGAACGCTCAGCAATCTTCATCTAGAATTTTTTAGTGTGATAGTTTCCTCAGAAGTTACTTATTAAATTAATAATGACGTCTTACAACTTTTCCACGAAACCAAACCAAACCAAACTCAGACTCATTTCATGGTGTCATGGTGATCATCCGGACAAGGTACATAACGAACACTATCAAGTCTCAACTACTATAATAATAATACATTGCTTGTGTTGGGGAATGTTCATCTAGAGAGACAGGTGCAAGTGCAAGTATTCACCCCCACCTTTGCTTGACTTGATTTCAGTTTCTTTTCACGCCAAGTAAAACTATACGTAGCCTCCTAACCTAACCCACTAACCCCACCCCACATCACTAAATTTAATAGATAATTTGTTGTGAGGGCTATTGATTCCACCGAGACACTTTTTTTGTTTTTTTTTTGTTTTTTTTTTCTGCTTTGCCAAGCTATAAATAGTTAGTAGCTATCATCATCTCATTATAAATCTTATGACAATTGATCGAAATTTCACTTTATTGCTATGCAATCTTTTTTTTTTGTGATAAAATTTGTTAATGAAGATTTTTTAAAAAAAAAACTAGTGTTCATCACTTCTTCTTATGTAAGATGTGTTAATCCATCTTTAATAGTAGTATTTTAGAGTGTATTTAGCTTAAATGTATAATTAAACTAAATGAAAAATGTGTGTTTATTACTAAAAATGTCTTTAATTAAAAGACAAAACTAACATATCTTGGTGACAAAAAAACAAAAAAAACTAACATATCTTCTGATGTTCTTAGTTTTTTAAATATTAATTTATTGCTAAGAGCAATATAAAAAACTATCATTACTGTTGCTCTAATTTAAAAATAAAAAATAAAAAACGCATCATTATTTAAAATATTATTATGCAGAGAAATAAACAAAAGTGTGGCAAAAAACTTCAAACCCAAAAAAAGAAGGGAAGTGTGTCTATGTTTGTGACGTGTTTCCGTTTCATCATCCAAAACACCAGACGTGAATATCACGCACCATCAACAAGCGCGTGGATTTAGGAACAGCGATGTGGCGGCCGTCTAATAAATCAATAAAAATGGTAAGTATGCCTACTAAAAAAAATAAAAGGGTACAAATTAATGACTAATTTTCAAATTAACACAACATAACTATGATTTATTCTCTCTTCCATGAGTTTTCTACTAAATGTGTTTTTAGTTAATAAAAAAGCAAAAGGTGTACCGTATATTGATCTGATTACTTAAGGTAAATATGAGTTAATGACTTAATTAGACATAAAACAGAAAAAGCAAGAGTGGTTCATAATGTTAACAACGAATAATAAAACTGTTTTAGTATTGATAATGTCAGCTAAAAAAGGTAGTGTTCATGGTGGGAACATAACATTTCATTGGTAAAAGCTTTTTTTTTTTTTTTTTGGTTAGCCATACATACATAGCCAATAATAATAATACCAAATCTTGGAGAGACAGTGAAATTGATAAAGAAGAAAGAAGCCATGTTCTGAGGAAGGAGACATGCATCATCTCTACTTTACTTGATTTTCTTTTCTTTCTTTTTTTTTCTCTCTCTCTCCCATCTTCACACCAGATTCTTATTTTTTGGGTAAGTTGTTAAGTCGCTCTGTTTGACTACTTGTGTACTCTCTGCTTTCCTTTTGAGAGGCTTCTATACCCATTTTTGGGTGATTGGTGAGCAAATCTGATTGCTTTTTTTTTTTTTTTTTTTTTTCTTCTCTCTGTTTTCTGGCTTTCTTTTTTTTGATTGGATCATCCAAATTCGTAGGGTCTTAGTCTCTCATGTCTTATGTCGATTGATTTAGTGGAATTGCATGTGTGTGCTTTATCTTGAGTGATCAATCAAAACTTCTGTTCTTTATTCAGATTTGTAAGGCCGTTGATTCTTAAAGTCTGAATCTTTGCTATCTATCTATCAGTTCTGCTCTGTGCTTTCTCTCTCTTAGATCTGTTGTTTGTTGCTCATTTCTTTTTGAATCAAGAATGGTTTTGAGATTTATTCCTCCAAGTAAATGCAATATATCATGACTTGGTTCTTCTTACTTGATTTGGATTATATAGGTGACTGAAAAAAACATCTCTTTGTCTCTTGATGGATCTACTGTGGTCTGGAGATTAGACAATGCACAAAGATTCATTGCCTTTTCCTGTAAACTTCTTGGGATAACTCTCTGTGTTCTGTGCTCACTAACTCAAACGTCCTAGGATCTTCACCCCTGACTGACAACTGCAATTTAAGCTTGACGATTGAGATGATGTCTACTCATTTCCCTAGAATGAAGCAAACTGGTTTTCAATTGCGGGACCATGATTCCTCCTCAACTCAGTCCACTGGAGGAGAGTCATATAGTGAAGTTGCAAGTTTAAGCGAACCTAACAATCGTTATGGCCACAACATTGCTACCCATCTCTCAGGTCCACTTTTCAGCTTCTTTTCGCCTGAATAAGAGTTCACATTGCGTCAGCTGCTTCTTGTAGTTTTAGCTGATCTAATGGGTACTTGTTTTGAAGCAGGTTACAAAGTAAACCCGGAGAATACTATTGGAAGTCATTCCAATTCAATCTTGTCGAAAGTGTCTCAAGAGTCAGTGCTTCTTCCTATTGAGGTTGATTAGTCTATCATTTTTGACCTTGTTATAAATCTTACCCTAGATGAGACTGAGTCTAAAGCTAACTACTTTTTAATTCTAATGTCTTTATGCTCTCAGGCGGCTTCTTGGCCTGAAACTCCACGTATCAATGGTTTCTTGTCTTTTCCGTATGCATCACAACACACGGTAATACACAGTTTACATCTCAAGATAACGCTCTTGTTACATCTTGGAACAGTGAAGCCTCTACCGTTTAAACGTTTCTTGATCTTATGAAGAAGTATTTGTTATGAAAATCTTTGTAGATGCAGCATCCTCAAATTGGAGGGTTGGTTCCTTCTAGAATGCCTTTGCCTCACAACATTCCAGAAAATGAACCAATTTTTGTTAATGCAAAACAGTACCAAGCTATTTTACGTCGTAGACAGCACCGCGCAAAGCTCGAAGCTCAGAACAAGCTCATCAAAGTCCGCAAAGTATGTTTATTTACTGTTGCACCACTATGATAGATAGAACTACAGAAAGTTTCAATTATTATGTCTAAGACCAATTCTGTGTATGAAATGATGCAGCCATACCTTCACGAGTCGCGTCACCGTCATGCGTTAAAGAGAGCAAGAGGCTCTGGTGGGCGGTTCCTCAACACAAAGAAGCTTCAAGAGTCAAAATCTCCACATTCTCCTCTATTCTCGGGCTCACCGCATGTCTTCAAGAACTCTCCGGGAAAGTTCTGGCAACAGGACATTTCAAGGGGCGGGGTCGGGTCAAGTGGCTCGACAACATCTTGCTCAGACATAACCGGGAACAACAACGACATGTTTCAACAAAACCCACAGTTCAGGTTCTCAGGTTATCCATCAAACCACCATGTCTCAGTCCTCATGTGAGACTCTTAACTCTGGCAAGTGGTTGATGAGATCATGACGGGAAGTCATCCTTGGCTATATATCGATCCACAAAGTTTCTGTTTTTCAAGTTTGCTTTCATTCTACAATCTCTACTGCAAAAGAAGTTGAAATCTTTCAACAGTTTTTCTTTATTTTTTCTAGTGTGCCTTGTTGCTGAATTACTTATACTTTGATTTAAGCTTATCTGGCTTTGATTAAGTGTGCACCCACATATGGATTTGTGATTTATGTAATGTATAAAATTATTTGAGCTTAATGTTGTTGCCTATTTAAGTCCATTTTCAAACCAAATTTTGACATCAACCATAATTGGTAACAAGGCCAACCACATGATGAACACTTGTGGCTTTTGTCAATGTTTAATTTTGTAGTACAATTTCAGTATTGTAATGGTAAAACTTCTTGAGCAAACTAAAAGACTCCATGGGACAGTGTTTGGAGTTGATGCCTTAGTCATTGGAAACTTGACAGAGTGGTTTTATCTGATAGATTTCAAAGATGAAGACATGTTTCATTTATACATACATCTTTTCAAAACGCTTTTGCAATTTTTTTTTTTATACGGATGAAATGTGAATCAAACCATAACAAAGCTCGTAACAAATCAGTCAATAATGTCATTTTCTTGGAATAAAAAACATCTTTGTCTCTGTCTGATTTTTTGATTAAGGTTATATTATGTCTTTGACGTTTTATATCCTCCAATCATTTCTCAATTCCCACAACCAACCAAATCTTTACGATTACATTCCTTCACCTACCAAATAGCTAGGCATCACAAAACAATACTTTGTTGTACATCCCTGAAGCAATAATTGATTCAGACATCTCTCTCGAAAGCTCTACTGTTAATGAATATATATTAGATTGTGGAAAGTGAGTTTCTATTTCTAAATCCAGTTGTGGAATTTGAAAGAGTTATAAGAGCCTAGTCGCAAGCTAAGATTATGGATATTTAATTCATATATGATAAGATGTTCAAACATCTACGCACATACTAAATTTCTATTAAAAAAAACTTGTGGACCAACATCAGTTACATAATAATTTTAGAGAATATTCTAGGGAAATGGATATTAAAGCTTTTCTCGAACTTACTCAACTACCGTTTTTGAACCAAATCATGTGGGTATGTGACTGAAGCAATTTTTTTTTACCAACAATCAGATGAAAAATCACTACTGCGTATTGGACAATACGTTCATCATAATTTCAGTATCTATCTTATGTCTTCAACAAAACAATATTCTTGTACTTTTTAAGACAATAAAAAGATTATCCTAGAGACCAGACCATACTGATAGAAGAGAAGATAACACCAGATTCTATGCCTGCATCATATTATGTCCCCACAATCTAAGCCATTGTTTTTGTTTATTACTTAATGACAACATCATAGTACAGATTTTGATACTTTTATAATCTCTCAAATTTGCTTATAGTACTACCCAAATATAACATTATTTAATGTCTGATATGCAACATATTCAGTATAGTACAACCTACAACAATGGTCCCAAATTGCAATAGGTGAAGAGACTAATTGACTTATGGAAATGCCAATCAGATTGCAATACTCAAATATATAAATAATGGTACTAGTTTAATATCACAAGTCTTATTACCATTTTCATAAAAGGTGGTTTACTAGTTAATATGGTCATGGCACACTCTCCTCTGTATTATTAAGATCCACACGCCATTTCAATATATATTCATCTAAACATTCTCCATCCATATCTTTTCTATTCCTGTTACTGTTTTTAATCTTTTTCGGTCTTAACCTATATCACCTAGTCACAAATCATACTTTTTTTCATCATCCATTAAATGTCGTTAGAAGAAACAGAACCAGTAAACCAGACTCTAGATCATGTCCTAGGCTGGCTTGAGGATTCTATGTCCTTGACCCCATTACCAGAGTTCGATGATTCTGATTTACTCCACGAGTTTGATGGGTCTCAAACTTGGGAATGGGATCAGACTCAAGATCCGGAACATGGTTTTATTCAAAGCTATAGTCAAGATCTTAGTGCATGTGGGGGTTTTGAAGCAACTAACCTGGAACTGGTATCAGAAGCTCCATTCATGTATTCGGATCCTCCGCCTCAACTTCAGCAACCAAACGATCAATCCAGAAAAAGGAGCAGTAACGAGCTTATCCAGCCCCAACATGTGAAAAGATCAGCAAGGAGCAAGAAAAAATCAAACAAGTCTAGTGAGAAGAGCTCCAAAGATGGTAACAAGGAAGAGAGGTGGGCAGAGCAACTACTTAACCCTTGTGCCTTGGCAATTACGTCAAGGAACTCATCAAGGGTTCAACACTACCTTTGTGTTCTCTCTGAACTGGCCTCTTCTTCTGGAGATGCTAATCGTCGGCTTGCAGCTTTTGGTCTCCGCGCTCTGCAACATCATCTTTCCTCATCCTCTTCGCCTGTTGTTACCTTTGCTTCAGCAGAAGCGAAGATGTTTCAGAAGACTTTGCTTAAGTTCTATGAGGTAAGTCCATGGTTTGCTTTGCCTAATAACATGGCAAACTCAGCTATCCTGCAGATTCTAGCACAAGATCCCATAGATAAAAAAAAGGATCTTCATATAGTTGATATTGGTGTTTCTCACGGTATGCAATGGCCCACTTTGCTGGAGGCTCTAAGCGGAAGACCAGAAGGACCTCCTCATCGTGTTCGAATAACCGTTGTATCCGAACCATCCTCAGACATACCTTTCTCTGCTGTTCCACCAGCATACAGTTATGGTACTCGACTCATTGGCTTTGCTCGGTCTCTCAACATCAACCTCCATATCAGTGTACTTGACAAGTTCCAACTCATTAATACCTCACCTCACGAGAACTTGATCGTGTGTGTTCAGTTTAGGCTGCATCAGCTGAATCATAGCATGCTTGATGAGAGAGGTGAGGCTTTGATTGCACTGAGGAGTTTGGGGCCAAAAGGAGTGGTTCTTTGTGAGAACAATGGAGAATGTACTAGTATTGGGGACTTTGCAGCAGGGTTCTCGATGAAACTTGAGTATCTATGGAAGTTTCTGGATTCAACAAGCTCGGGATTCAAAGAAGAAGATAGCGAAGAGAGGAAGCTAATGGAAGAAGAGGCAACAAAAGTGTTGATGACTGGAGAATATGTGAATGAAGGAAAAGAGAAATGGTTTGAGAGGATGATAAAAGCTGGTTTTGTTGCAGAAGAATTTGGAGAAGATGCAATTGATGGAGCCAAGTCCTTACTGAGAAAGTATGACAACAACTGGGAAATAAGAATGGAAGATGGAGGTACCTTTGCTGGATTAATGTGGAAAGGAGAATCAGTTTCCTTTTGTTCCTTGTGGAAGTAAGCTAGCCTCATTTCCAAACTAAAGCCTTGTGTAAACTGTTCTCTGCAGTTTATTGTCAAGTAGCACCACTGTTACGGACTTCTTGTTCCTTATACTTCTCTAATCATAGTCACACTCTAACCCTTTCTTTTACATTAGCCTCTAAAGACAAAACAAGTAATTTATAACTTTTCGTTCTGTGTGATCGACAGGTTCACTGGTCCTCATAGCTCTTGAACAAAGAGATGAAAAATAGCAAAAAAAAATAATTGTAATTGACTAGCAGCAATAGCCATGTTTAAAAGGACATGTTCTCAAAAAAATAAAAAAGAATGGAAGTAAAAGGAGATGAAAGAAACAAAACTAAGAAAATGGAACTAAACAAATCAAATCTGCACTGAACTTGGGACATAAGAAGGGCAGACAAGTGGGACACAATATATGGGGGAAGTAAATCCATAACTGTCAGGTGTCCCTAGATTGGGAGCTTCTCTGAAATTCACAGACTTGAAGTATCCATCTTGTCCAATGATGTGAGCTGACTGGTAGCGACAAGTCTCGGTTGGTTTATATCCGTCAAGATCGAAAACCACGGCGACATTCTTGTCCTCGTCAATGAAGAAACTCCCAGCTTCGACACAAAACTTAAAGCCAGTGATTGGTTTCATATCCATAACTAAAAACCTGCTCCAAGACACGGCAGTAGGCTCGATCTTAGTGGTAATCCAAATCTCCAAGTATAAGTTGTAGTTATGATACAAGACAGCGAGCTGCTCTTCTCTGACACAAGAGAGAGACACAGTCTCTTCACCATAAGAGTGAAAGGGCAGAGGAAGACGTGGTCCAAATCTCTCAGCTGTAAAATCAAAACAGAGTAGAAAAACAGGAAGGTCTGTAGTATCTATGTCGTCGTCTTCAGGTTCAACTCCTGGCATGAGTTTTTGTTGAGCGTGAAAGTAAGAATTTCCCTTCAAAGACATGCCGCGTTGGTAAAACACAATATCCCAGTCGGGAGTGACATCGAGAACCCTCCATGAATCAGAGCTGAAGTCGTAGATTTCGTACCCAAAAGGCTGGTCTTCCTCAGTGACGTAATCGTCAACAAACCTCAAGACTTTGTGGTTACGGTTGTTAATGTTGTCATAGCCAAGAGCATACCTGTCTAATAAGTGGAAACTTTTCATGGGTTGGATCCATCTCGTTTGCCCCAAATAGGGATTCCATGCCAAGAGCTTGGAACCGTCGAAGAGAACGCATAGGACTAAACCGTCGCAGTGAAAGAGTTTATGTACCTCGATTTGGTCTAGAAGGCTTATCTGATTTACAGATGGATCAACCAACAAGTCTCCTCCTTCTCCTTCGTTTCGGATTCCTTGGAGATCAAACCTCAGAGAGCAAACCCTATCGTCCATCATCATGAACCCCAGAAACTGATTTTTTTTCGCCGCTGAATTATCCAAAATCTCTGTTACCAAGCCCCCAGAAAGATCCGACATCATCGTCGTCATTGGCAGGGTTCGTATGTTTCGACTAAAAAAACACGATCCTCCTCTATATATACTTCTCTGTAAAGCTACGCTTTTGTACTTGTAGGTCAGACATGACTTTCCCTCCGAATCTTACGTGCCACGTGGTTTTTTTTTTCTTTCTAATTCGAAGGTAATAAATTAGAGAGAGACGAGTATAAAACTGGGCTTAGGCCAGCCTAGTAACAACAACCGTAGAATACTTGTTTTCTTTCTTTTCAAATCCATTTCGATCGTTGAGATTAGAGAGAATAGGAAAAAGCACTGATCACCACGACTTAATATAATGATCATCGCAGACACACAATGGCACAAGTCAGAAGGAATAACAAAACAAGCAGAGGTTTTTTTGAAGCATTTTACGAAAATAAGCTTGTGAATATATTGCTGCTTCATATGCTTGTATAGTAATACTCGACTCATCACAACACATGTCCCTGTACGCGCAGGTAGTGTACCAGTGTGTTCACCTCCCTGCGCCAAGGTCCCCTCCTCCTTATTGTTCGCCGTATGAACGTATAGCCACCAATGAACTGCCTCGCCTCTGTGTAATTATACCTAACAACCCCGTTTTCCCTCTGTGGGGGAATATGAAAGACGTTAATCAGTCACACACAAAAAAAAAAAAAAACATAATTTAAGAAACATCCCCAACAAGTAATTACTTTGATACAGTCCAGAAACAATTTATAATAAAACTCACCAATTGTCTTGATCTTGTAACAAGAATGATCCAGTCATTCCCATCAATGTAAATTTGGCAGTCCCTTCTATACAACCCCGTTCTTAGTGGAGACACGGGTTGATTAGAATCAGGAAAATCATTGAAATTCTCCATTAAGATGTCTAACTCATGAACATCTAAAAATCTAAGTCTTGAGTTTTGCAGAACTCTGTTCACTTGTCGTCCACCTGAAAGTAGGGTTAAGCTATTCCGTTAAGAAAACAGAGTCTACTAACGGGGAAATGATAAGAATATCTCTATACCCTAAGTACTCTACGTTTTCCATATTATCTGAATCGCAATCATGTACGTAACGTAGTAGACTTTCTGAGATCACAATCGCATTCATGTTGTATCTCTCTAAAACTTTCCTAAGAGTAACTCACACAAGTAAAAGATTCTAAGTACCAAGATTAATGACAGTTGAAAGATTGCGTAATCATGAGATCGTTTCCTAAATCTGATCGCAATCGACAGACATTTGCTTAAAGACGATCTACATAGTTTCCTAATTCACTCGCAATTGCGTGCGTTATCATGTGATTGTTCCCTAATCTAGATCGCAATCAATAGACAATTTCTAAGTTAGATCAGTTTTAAGATTTTACCAGGGTTGAAGAAGACTATTCTTTGAAGATTTCTTTGAAGATTCATGTTCGCTGAGAACTGAGAAGCCTGAGATAGTCCAACTCCAAGAATGGCCAAGAATCGTATCTTTGAAGAATTATTGAGTCGAGAGGGAGTTCTAAAGTGAGGTGATGTGTTCCTATTTATACCGCCGTAATTGCTCCTAATAAAATTTACAAGCCATGGACACGTGAGACAATCTAACAAAAGGCTTTCTTCTTTTACTTGTCCTTCACGCTACTAACGTTTTTTTTTTCTTTTGTTGTAAATCACCTGTATCAGAGTGAGTATTTATTTCCTTTTTATCTCCCCATCCCTTTCTTTTTTTTTTTACTTTGAAGTTTTAAGAGTCTGAGCCTGTAATTTCAAATGCAACCTAATCTTCTACCACACTAGAGCTGAATAAAAGAGAGGGAGTTTTGAATAAGGCTCAATCTATAATAAAGTCACATATCCCGCAAGTTAGTCTTTTGAAACTTCATGTTCTGGGTTCTCATGCTTGTTTATCTACATTCATCATTCATTAATTAGAGAAGCTTGCATCTTGTGGAAGTGCATAGATGCTGCTGATGTAGAGAGGGAGTTTGGTGATTGGTGAGGCTCTGAATATAAGAATTGTCTTCCTTAGATGTAAAGCACACAAATAGACACTACTTTTTCTTGAACCATGAACAGAGCACAAGCTCTGAACCCTACAGTCCACATCGATCTCTAGATAGATCTCTCGCAAGACTCCTCTCCTCCTATTTATACTATTCTTCTTATTACATTCAATATTTCCCTAACTAACTCCTTTCTAATAACATGGGAAACTCAGCTATCCTGCTGATTTACAGTTATGGTACTCAACTCATTGGCTTTGCTCGGTCCCTCAACATCAACCTCCAAATCAGTGTACGTCACAACTCATTTATACATCACCTCATGAGGACCTGATCGTCTGTGTTCAGATTAGGCTGCATCAGCTAAAGACACGTTTGGTGCCAAAAGGAGTGGTTCTTTGTGAGATCAGTGGACGAACCAAGGGAACATAATGAGTTAATGACTTTTTTAGCTTTCTTTTAAGCTTAAATTGAACCAAGGGAACTATTGTTATGTACAGCAAATTAAATCACTACTATATATTTACAAATACATGTACTAGTTTAACAATTTGAAGACTCATCAGCTTCCCCATCCGACCATGGTTCCAGGGCGTGAAAACGCGAGTCCTCGATCATACATCCGTTGAATCTCTTCTCTGTATTCAGGCAGAGACTCATCAGGAATTGGTGGAGTCAGCTCCACCACATCACCCATTTTCAGCTTCCACCTGAGGTCACTTACAGGTCTTTGGTTCAGCCTTGGCCTTAGCTCTTCCTTTGCTGGTATACCATACATGGACCACCTCGAGCTCCCAGGCCCCGCCCGGCTCAATAGATCCGAGACCGTAGAACTCGCCGGAAATTCTTGCACAGACATCTGCATTTTCTGATTTGTTCAGTATAACAATTAAGTGTATAACTCTTTTGTACTAAAAAAAGGTAGTCTATAACAAACCTTGTCATTTTCGATTACGATGACATAGACTGGTCCGTCCTGGCTACTGTTGGGCTTGTAAGAAGCTGGGCAGTCCTCGGAGTGAGACGGAAACTTGCAAGGGGGTTTGATGGAATCAGAAGAACTGATGGAAGATCTGTCTTTGCTCATTGCTTCGCACTGCCAGGTTACGACCCACCGAGCCCATTCAACCATCTGAAGCACAAACGAAGAGTATTTGCAGTCACCTTCCTTGTACCTCCAGTGAGCTGCAAACCCAAATTCTGCTTGCAAATGCATCTCCTGTGTACGTATTTGGACTTCAAGTGGGACTGTTCCATTGTCCATCACTACCGTGTGTAAAGATTGATACCTAAATTCCAATTTACCAAAGTCAGATTCATTACATTTTAACAAGCCACAACCAACCACAACTTAAACAACAAGATATGAGCTTACCCGTTGAACTTGGGATGAGTTATGTAATCCTTCAGCTTTCCAGGAACTTCAGACCATACACTATGAACTACTCCTAAGGCCTTGTAACAATCTCCTTCGTTGTCAACAATCAAACGTAACCCATGAATGTCATGGATTTCATCCACTGTTAGCTTTTTCCTGGTAAAATGGAAAAGGGCAAGATCAACATTAGTCTTCTAAATTCACTCACATTGTTTGTTCTGAACAAGAGAGGAAAGATAACTTACTTCAACATCTTGCTGTAAATACTATACAAGCTCTTGTGCCGGCCACACAGAACATGAAAAGAAATGCCTTCTTTCTTAAGAGCTTGCTCCAATTTCTCTATTGCAGAAGTAATCATGGCTTCATCGAATGAATCCTCAAGCATGGTTGACATCTCATTATGCTGGTGTGGGTAAAGATGCTTGAAACACAAATTTTCAAGCTGGACTTTCCATGTGGAGATTCCCAAACGATTAGCCAAAGGTGCGAATATTTCCAGCGTCTCTTTAGCAAACCTCTGCTGCTTCACTGGGGACAAAGCGTAAAGCGTCTTCATGTTGTGTAATCGATCAGCCAGTTTTATAAGAACAGCTCTTGCATCTGCCATTGCAAGAAACATTGTGTGCAAGCGATCTGCTTCAACAGTTTTGCAAGCCGTATTGTTCTCTCTAGCGAGTTTGCTCAATTGGCTAAGCTTTGAAACCTGTGCCAAACACACACATTGAACTCAAATTAGCTCCTAATACACGCGGATTAAAAAAAACCAAGAATCTCAAACAATCAAAGTCCATGTTTCTTACCCCTTCAACCAAATCAGCAACTCCTACTCCAAAGTTTCTGAGAATATAATCATAGCTCATGAATGAATCGTCCATGGTATCATGGAGAAGTCCAGCAACAACAACAGTTGAGTTAGCACCAATATTAGCCAACAACATAGCAGTCTCAACGCAATGTTGAAGGTAAGGATCACCACTAGCTCTCATCTGATTACACACACATCAAACAAAACAAAAAAAAGTTCAGTCACCAAAATCGAAAATTCATGAAATTGTAGCGATTGAGATTGTGTTTTTTTTAATTCCCACCTGTCCTCTATGAGCTTTCTCTGCTTCATAAAATGCTTTGATAACAGATTCATCTTTGAAGATTTCGTGTCTCAATTGAGCACGTCTTAGGAAATCCCTAGCATATGGCTTTCTACTAGTATCAACCCCAAAACCATCCTCCATAGGAAACGTGAGCTCATCAACGAGAAGGGAATCGGAAGAAGACGATCCCAATTCGTAATCAACACATGATCCAAGAGCTTTCCTTACGAATCCACTGAAGAAGCCACTAGCTCCTACACGAAAGGAGCCATCGAGATTGCGATCACGAGACATTCTCATCGGAGGGCTACAGCTACACGAGACTGGACCATGAAACACAGAGATAGGACTCTGATGATCTCGTCTAAGACACGAAGCAAATTTAGCTGGGGAATAACAAAAGGAGCTGCTAAAGGTCAGATCTTTCAAATCGTCACTCAGATCATGGCGGAGGGAAGAAAACTCCTCAACTCCGGTAGAGTAAGAGGAAGAGGAAGCAGAAGATTTGACAGACGCGGCGGAGAAAAGAGAAGAGAGACCTCCGACGATTGGCTTCTGAGGGGAAGGAGATGATGATGAGGAGCTCCTGGAAGACAGATCGAGATCACATGAAGAGATCTGATGTGGCGTGGAACAAACGCTGCTAGGTGGGCTAGCGTAAAGCGCTATAGTCGTCGCCACCACCATTGGAGCTCGTTGGTTCTGCTGCTTTAGAATCCTAAGGTTCAGTTTTCTTTTCTCTTTTTTCTCAGAGATATCAAAACAGTAAAAGCCCAAGCTCCTTTAAAAAAACGTTAAATTTCCCGGGGGGATTAAAAAAAAGAATAGATTGAAACAAACAGATTCACGAAACCCAGATTGGGATACGCACTTGTTTCTTTCTAAGAAGATAATTTCAATACAGAGATTTGAATATGTACAATTTATACAGAGTTTTGAATATTGAAAATGAAGGAAACGAGTCTAATGGAGACAGACAAGAGGGGATGGGTTTGTGCGAAGAAGAAGAAGAAGAAGAGACTTGGACGCTTTGCTTTAAGGAATATAAAAATATAAAAATCTCTGATATTTTTGATTTTTCTTTTCTTTTTGTTTTCGTAATTACAAGTAATTAGTGTGTCTCTATCTATCTCCTTGCTCTAACCTTATTCGTCTGTTTTATTTAGGTTCGGCCGACCAAGGCTTAATCGATGAACATTACGCAAATACCCTTTTGCGTGAATCGGTTATTTAATTACAGTTACTAACCAAGTTGGATCCCTCTTATCATTATTACAGTGAGTGACTACAGTCTCATACTAATCTCTTTCTGTCGTCGACTCGTTATCCATTCATTCATGTTCCTAAATGATTATACTATTAATTTTAAAAAAATTACTAAAATAGTAGTAGTATTGGAATATTTGTTAGTGGTTTATCACCGAACAAAAATCTAGAAAATCTTTAGATTTTTTATTGTGTTTACATTTTGATCATATCAACTTGTCGTCCAAATCCAGAACACGAATAGATTAATGCTACGGATATTGTTAACTAAAAGCTAATTCGTTGTGATTAAAAGAGACTTTGGGGATAATAATAATAATAATATAATTGATGACACGCTAAATACGAATCCAATCAGATGACATCGATATCCCAACTTCAATTTGGCTATAAAAATATACTCTAAAACACTTGACAGCATAGTTTTTTTATTTTATCAAGGTTAATTAGTCACTTAAAACGGCTTTTGTGTGCTGATAAAAGACATTTTCAAGATGTTTTTCTTTTTAAGCCTAACTCTCTCGTATGAGAGAGTACCTAAAAGCTCAAGTACAAGTTTCATAATATGAGCCCTCACTTTTGATCAAAATCTAGTATTGTATGTTGTTCTTCAATGTATGTATACTGTTTAAGTTTATGTAAATCGTATGAGAGCACCTAAAAGCTAAAGAATACAAATGGTATTCTGTTGTTCTTTAATGTGTAGTTGTGTATAATATGTTGTGTCAAAACTGTCAAATGTACATATTAATTTTGTTTTCACAAGAGTGATTTGTCTCAATAAAGTTATCAAACGACACTGGTTCGTACATGGCACTATCGTCTAAATGATTTCTTTTTTTTTTAATTCACCAGTGAGATATTGATATATATTCGGCGACATCTTTATATATAATTTTATTCCTGATTTTCAAAATGAGATATTCTTTGGTAATCACTATTCTCATATGCTTTCTTTAGCTTCACGCCAATGCATGACCCCGCCTTTTCTTTTCTTTTCTTTATGCTTGTTTATAAATTTATTGTATTAAATCATATTTATTATATAGATATTATATATTATTTGTATCCTCTTGGAATCTTTTAATTTTTCTTCCCCTGTTTTTGTTTTAAAAGTCGTATGATGAAGATAGGCTCATAGAATTAGTGTCAGCGGCAGATGAGTCATCGCATGTGCATCAGCATCAACTTGATTATCCAATTTATATAAAACTACTGTTAATATTAATGACGAGTGTTTTTACAGAAAACAACTTTCTTCATTATTCGTTTTACTATTTCGCAAAATGGAATTTGTCACTTTACAACATGAACAAAAGTAAGCAAATTCTATCGAACGGGGCCACCATGCCCATGATGATGAGATTTGTGTGTTGTTGTCTTCTATATACTTTTTATACGTAGAAAAATTATATGTTTTTTTTTGCTTCATATGGATTGATCCCAATGATTGATGAAACTATGTAAATGTGAAACGACTATAGTGAAGTATACATACACACATTGAAGAACAACAATATACATTAAAACTATAGTGAAGTCAGTTCCTTCAAATCGAACCAGGGGTAACAGTGGCATTTCGTATGCATTTGATTGATTCCTATAAACGAGTTTTATAAAAGAATCGTGGGGTTTATTTTATTCCCAAAACTGTATAAGAAGATGATTAGATTGATGAAGCTTCTTGTTGATAAGGACACACCGACGCGTTCACTAAGGCAGGAAGCAAGAAAAAAAAAAAAAAAAAAACTAAAACAATCAAAAAGCAAGAAAAGTCGCCACGTGGCGACAAGTCGGCAAAGCTGAACATGACACGCGTCTAACTTGGCGGCCAAAAAAGAAATGGATGTCACGCTCGTCTGACGTGTCCATTCCCCAAGCATCACCTCCCATGACTCGTGGGGTATCACGTGTCTCGATGTGTCTGTTTACAACTTTACAACAACATCGAACGGCTAATAAGGTCTCAAAGTCTTTGAGCTCAAACTGAGTTACAGCCGTGAATCTATCTACTACTTCTGCTTAGTTATGTTCCGGTTCTTGAAAGTCAACGAGTCAATCAAAGCCTGTTACATTCTATAAGCACGTGCGTTAGTTGGTTACTGTATAAGAACGTACGATATTTTCCTTTTACTTGTATCGTTGATTTTTTTTTGTTATGTCGACGGCTGGAAGAAGAAGAAGAAGAAGAACGATATTTCAATTTTAGTTGGTTTGGTTTTTTTGGTTTTATATGCAGCATTCAGATATTTCTAGTGAATCAAAATTGGTTATAAATTTCGTTTTATTATCAACATATATACATAACAACAAAACAAGAACGAGTGGTCCATGAATAACCAAATAATGGAAATTGCGATTAATATTTAGCGTAAGAAGAAGCAAGGCAAAACCAAGGATTAGGTCAGCCATGACTTAACCACGTGGAATTGTTGCGTTGCCTTTTCCTCTCCTTCACAAGCAACCACCCTCCTCCCACACGCCATCCTCACATTTTCTTGTTCCCCGTTTGGTTTTTTTCTCTCTCTCGTTTAGTTTGTTGACTATAGTCTATAGGAGGATTATCTATATGTGCAAACATCATTATTAGCCCAATACTCTATCTTGAGGGCTATTTTGTCTTGAGTTTTAGTGCCTGGCCTGTGGGCTTATAAGTCCAATGAGAGATACATAAACCAAATAAACAAAAATTTGTGAACCCATGATTTATGTCATATAACAACTTCTAGGAAGAAGAGAAAATCTTGGTACAAATAAAATATGTCTCAGTAGTCCATATCTACTAACAAAAAAAGAGAATCATGATTTTATTTTACTTTTAATCCAGGGTGAATTAGCTAGCTAAGTAATCTAATTTCTTGTTGGATTATGTAAGTAATCTTCTAATTTTGAATACAAAATAAAGTAGTCATTTACTTTACAAAATGGTGATATGGTGATTTTTTTTTTGGGGTCATCAATGGATATGTTGAATACAATACAAGACAATAAAAAGGTGAATTTCACGTGGAATTGAGTAAAAGTTAATTATCCACAGTTGTGTGATATTGTGTGCATATGTATATGAGTTTTCAGTTACAAATATAGATTCTCTTTGAAGATAGCGAGAAGATTAAGAAAAAACAAACAATATTTCTACAAAACTCAAGTGCCTGCATCACTCCATGGCTGGCTGTATATCATTTAAGTCAACAAAAGCAATATTTTTTAGCCGACAAGAATCTTTCGGACCAAGTTTTTTGTTTCCCCATGATCATACTATTCAAACTCAAAAGTTGTCTTCAAATTTCAATATCCTGTTTTGTTCAAACTATTGTTTATAGTTTTTGACATTTTCGTGATGATGCTCAAATAATTTTTTTTTCTTACATAATCATTTAAACAGGAAATTTTAAAATAGTGTAGAGTAACCCCTTCCCAAAAACAAAAAAAAAAGAAAAAGAAAATCATGAAGGGTGATTAATTAAATTGAAACTCAAGGTAAGAACATTGAAGCTATACAAGAAAAAAACGAGGTTGGTCATGGCAGGACATGGGACAGAAAGATAAGCCTAAACCAGGAGCGGCAAAAGCTGCCGTTTCAACCGTCATGCGCTGCTGGATGGTGGCGGTTCCGGCTTCCTCAAACTCCTTCACTACAGTGCTATAATACACTTTGATCTTCTTCACGAGCCTTACGTAGTATAGTCTCAGCCACTTGAGTCTCATCCTCGTCACCACCTTCTTTACCGAGAACCTACCACGTGCCCACGTGCTGTTTTTCCCGCCGAGACGCACTACTTGCGGCTTACGCCGACGGAGATAGATCTTCCGGCGACTTGACGGCCACCGGAAGGCGTTAGAGGCGGCAGTGATAACTAAATGAGGATCCATTGTTGAACTCTCGATAGAGAGAATTTTATAGATGAAAGAAAGTGAAAGATGATTTATGGAGTTCGTTCGATTGAGAAACTTAACATATATATATATATATATAGAGAGAGAGAGAGACTAACAAGAGTCGTGAAATTTTGTTATGTGGTTACAAATTATGACATAAAAATAATATAATATGAAATAATATTGCGTAATTTCCGTAAGAACTCTAATAAGATCGTATGTCCAAATCATAAACCATATGTAGTTTTTGTTGTTATACGACATATATTCCATTTATTTAGGAGGAATGCCCTATATACCACGACATTTCACTTGTGCCACTCATTTTTCATAATTTATTTTGGTGTGTATAGAAAATATTAATGTACATATAGTAAATTACGGTAAATGCCAAGGATAAACAAGCTGGAACAGGGAAAAATTAGATAGAGAAATTGGAGACTAGCATGTTATATAATTTGAGACTAGCAAGTTAAATGATGCGAGAACTCAAGTTTCATATATAGAGATCGTTGATCAATATCAAACGGTGATTAAGAAGACGAGTAAGTAGATAACAAGCAAGAAGACCAGTAAGTAGACAATGAGTAAAGAAGAGCAGTTAGTAGATAACAAGCAAGAAGACCAGTAAGTAGATAAGCTTAAACAAAGTGTATGTCTTAGCTGTGATCTGGAGAAGACGACGAACATAGTTACGTTTGCGCAAGGGACCCCTCAGTTTGTCTTATATTACATAGAAAGTCCACTTTTAGTTCAATTTTCTTAAGTTAAAAAAAAAAACACCCAAATTCATTTCACCGGAGAAAATGATGTTTGTTTGTTTCTTTCTTGACTTGTGAACAGTTTTGTGTGTGCGTTAATTAATGGACGGCTAGTGTTTATTCATTTTTATTTTATTTTTATATTTCTGGTTTGATGTTGACTTATGCTCTCGTACTATTTTTTTGCTCTTATATACACGATTTATTATCTTTAATCGTTTTAGTGTATTAAATTGACTAATGCAATAGCATTTTGGCTAATTTATGCACAATCCGGCGAAAACTTATATTTTCTCTATTTTTAATTAGTTTTCTAGAGTTAAGATCATGTTTTAAATTAGTTGTCATTATATACTTTCAATGCAAATATTCGAATTTTTTGTATTTTGTTTTCATTTTTTTATTGTTTTCACTAATAAAAATCTAAAAATATATTAAAAAATAAAATAAAATGTTAATTTTTTTTTTAAAATTTGTGTGCAAAAACCTTGAACAATAATTAATTAAAAATAAAAGGAATAGTAATGTGCAGATTTATTTTGCATATGTAATAAATCAGAAACCAATTAAGAATATAAGTTCGTAAATGGGTTTGAGAGCCAGACATATGAATATATGATTTATTACAGTTGAACTGCTGACCAAACTGATATAAGTAAAAAAAATTCAAGCAAGCTCTCAACTTATTTTGAAGCAAAAAAATAATTTGTGAAAGAAGAAAGAAAACAGAAGGCTCCAAACAAAAAGGTGTATATGGTCCAGTAGGCACTAATAATAGTCACCCATTATTAATGTTTGAAGCAATAAATTAAGGGTACAAAATTTAAATTCTCAGGCCAATTAGTCAGACTAATTTAGTCCATCACCAACTCTGCTGAATACACACACAGACACACAGTTACAAAATCAATTGGTAAAGTAGATAAATGTTTGATGAGTCCACACATTTTGGTTTGGTTAGAAGAAAACATCATTCTAATTATGTTTTAGAATCTCAAATTCAAAGTAAAACACACGGTAATTTTTTCGAATTGGAATCGTTTGTTTTATTTCATCGCCAAACCCGGACGGATGCATGAAAATCAAACAAGAATCTAAAAGTTTACAAATGCCAATCGATTTTTTCTGGTCATTCACCCCATGCCCCATGCAGAGACCGAGGGGCTCAATATTGAGTATACAGATCATCGGCCCATTAAACAAACCCGATAAGATGTCATTTCGAACCAGAGCCCAATGATCATTCAGAAGGACTGAGCAGATGATCCCTGACCCCATTGGAAGGCCACCGGACTCTTAACCACGTGATCACCGTCTGTCCATTCGATCGACCCGAATTCTTGACCCGGCATGGATCCGACTCCTCCGCCAAGCACAACGCTCTTAAACGTCACTTCATACTCCAGCTCCCTCTTCTCCTTGCTAAACACTAGCTTGCTCGGAGACACTTCTATCTCGACATTCGCCGGTGATTTCACTCCCACTTCGTACACCGCGTCCACGTTGCTTCCCACGTTTTTAACAACTCTTCTGTATTTCGCTACCTCTCCCGTCGATCCGAAAACCACGGAGAATGATGGATAGTTGAGATCTCCGGCGGTTCTGAGCTTGCTCGTTTCGCACGCGTCGTAAAGACTTGGATCTTGAAGGAAGACTAGAATCCCCGGAAACTCGTATCCAACAGCGCATAGGAAAGCCACGTATTCTTTCACTTCAATGTCGTAAACCAAACCAGGATTCAGAGCTTTGTTTGGATCCACGTGTCCAGCTCCGTGGATGAACGGGTTCGATGATTTCCCCGTGGCGAGATCCTCGATTGCTTCGCCGGAGTTTTCGACATCGTAAGCGGTTGTTACCAGTGCCGATTTGATCGCCGCAGGTGACCAATCGGGATGAGCTTTACGGAGGAGTGCGGCCAGCCCACTCACGTGTGGGCACGACATCGATGTACCCGAGATGATGTTGAATTGGACCCGTCTTGGATCGATATCTAAATCGGTTGGACCAACCATCCCGGTCCAACCGGCTAAAATGTTGACTCCAGGCGCAATCATGTCCGGTTTGAGGATAACCGGGGTCAAATGGTTTGGTCCACGGCTAGAGAAAGCAGCGACTCTGGGAGAAGGCGGAGATGGTCCGATCAAAGTGCCTAGGAAGCTGATAGTTGCGGTGGGAGAGTTTGATGTTTTGATGTAGTCGCGGATTTGATCTCCAGCTTTAGCTCCAACCATTGTCGCTGGAACAAGATGCGAATCGGCTGTGAGTTCTTCACCGCTTGAGGCTGTGTTCGCTAGAATCATACCTGCACCACCGGCTAGTTTGACGGCCCTTCCTTTTTCAACTCTGGCGCTGCCTCCTCTGTCACATAGAACAATTTTGCCTTCAACCAATGATGAATTCAATTCCCCAACGGAGCACAATCTGCTTCCGCAATCGCCGGAATATACCAGAGAAATTTGAGAATCCGGCAGAGATTCGCCTGCGTACAATGATGTTCCCGTGAAGACTTTCCCGTCGCCAGTGATTACGTTTGCCGAGAATTCTCTATCTACGGTGGACGCACCGACGGTTAATATCCAAGGAGCGATGTTCGTCGCAGTTTCGGGACCAGGACCAGAGTTACCGGCGGAGCAAGAAACGACGATGCCGTGCCTCGTCGCTCCAAATGCTCCGATCGCTATAGAATCCCTGTGATACTCCGGGGCGGAACCGCTTGCCCCGACGGAGAGAGAGATAACGTGAACACCGTCCGCAACTGCCTGTTCCAGGGCGGCGAGGATATCGGAGTCGTAACAGCCGCTGCTCCAACAGATTTTGTAAGCGGCGATTCTAGCCTTAGACGCCATCCCACGCGCCGTTCCCTGCGCGTAATGGTACAAACTCGCGTTAGCAACCACCGATCCAGCCGCCGTAGATGCCGTATGTGTTCCATGACCTTCTGTATCGCGCGGTGATCTCGATTCCTTCGCCGCATGCAATTTTGTTCCGTTCCGTCGCGTTAAATATCCTTTGTAATACGCTCGAGCTCCGATAATTTTCCGGTTGCAAGATGAGGCGGGAAAATCAGGTCCGGTCTCGCACTCGCCTTTCCAGGTAGATGGAACTGGACCGAGATCTGAATCCGAGAAACTCGGATGCTCCGGCCAGATTCCAGTATCTAGAACTCCGACGATCACGTCTTCGCCGTCATCAGAGTTGCTCCAGAGACCAGTATTTTGGGAGAAACCGAGGAAGGCAGGCGTGTGGGTGGTGTGAATCTGACGCGCCTGATCTGGGGTAACGGAGATGACGGAAGGATGACGGCGGAGTGCGGCGGTATGGAGAGAGGAGAGACGAGCGGAAAAACCATGAAGGACACGTGAGTAAGAGTAGAGGAGCGTTGCTGGTTGAGGAGAAGAAGGGAGAGAGCGGAGGAGTGAGACGTGCCAGTGATTGTGGGAGGAGAAGAGGGAAGGCTTATGAGAGCTCTGCACATGGACGATGTAGGATTCTAAGCCATCCGATGAAGAAGAAGAAGAAGAAGAAGAAGAAGAGGAGGATAAGAAACAGAGGAAGAGAGAGAAGACGAAGAAGGAGGAGGAGAGAGAGAGCTTAGCCATGGCAATGGCTATGAGAAGAAGAAGATTCGTTGAGTGGGATACTTTTGTTAGTGACGTATTTATTTATCTCTTTGAGGCTTCTGAATCTTGTATTTCGTCTATATTCCACGTCACCAATTTATGAATTATTGGTCCCAAAGAAATGATATTCCCAAAAGATAACATATCAAGGAAGAGACGTGGGTCACATGACTGGTTTAATGTTGACACGAGCAAAATAAGTTTCTTTTTTTTGCGGTTATAAAAATGGGCAGGTATAACAAAAGGCCAAACCAACCAATAATAACAGCCAAACAAACACTAAAAAAAGATTCAAAATTATGAACTCTCTCACGACACATATTTTGGTATACAATAAGCCTCTGATTAGTTTGTGGTTAGAGACTAAACAAAGATTATATAACTTTTTTGTTAAGCAGCCCATGGTATGAATCCCATGGCGCAACTGAGCCTAAAAGTGACGAATATCAGATATAGTGAAATGAGTCCCATACCTAAGGTTTTGTTAGGTCGCATGTCGTTGCGCGGGAGTATCACCATTGCCCAAACCAAACCCAGTACTAAAAACCCAAGTGTGTAGAACAGGCTTTTGTCTTCTGGTAGCATGTATGTGTCTGGACTCTTGGACCATGCGCCAAAAAGCATCGACATACCGAGTCCGACCAGTGTGTTGAACATCGGACCTGCATAGCATCCTGATAGAGCGATTTGTACACCATCCCCACCGCTCATAGTCAGTGCGATATTCGACACTAAGTCACCCATTGAGTTTCCCCAAGCAAGTACTGTTAACGCAAGTATTGACGGGTTAATTCCGTATATTTCACCAAATGTCACCAGAAGAGCAACAAGTTCATTTGCAATCATGTAGAACCATACGATGCTCATGATGAACCCACCAAGAACCCAAGGGATCAAGAATCTTCGAGGTGGGTGATCAGGTTCTGTGTTTTTGTAAGCAAGAAATCCAAGAGTAGAGCCTATAGCAACGCTTATAAAGTAAGCCACACCACAACCTTGAGCACTCACATCGTCTTGGCTACTCCAGAGAGACGCCAAAAGGATAGGCGCTAATGAGACGCTGGCCACAGCGTATGTCTTAGACCATGTATCTTCCTCGACTGATGGAATTGTTAACCTCCTTGGAATCGTCAGCGGGATTTCTAACAAGGAAGTGAATTTATTACATGAGGAGCTCTCAACTTCTGTACTGTCATCAATCCATCCCCAAGGTGGCCTGTCTTCATCATGTAAACTAACTTTTGCGAAATGGTTTGAATAGATGGCCACATTTGACGCCCACATCCACTGAGGAAGACTCTGTAGCCGAGGTGGACCTTCCTCAGTTTCAGTTTCAATCAAGGGGTTATGCATTGGCATATCCTCTCCAACACTCGGGGAAAACACGCTTCCTTGCATAGGTAGCAACGGAGTAATAGCCTCTAGTTTAAACCTCTTAGCATGTTTTCTCAGAATCACATTCGCTGCAACAAGGAAAGCATACACCACATATATAGACACAAACGCAATGGCAATCCTTACTGTGACTTTACCAACCATCAAAATCACCAGCAAAGACACGAGCGTGAAAAGGAAGAAACTCAAGTCTCTGATGAAGCATTTCTTATCGATCTTGACTTCCTTATCGGCAACACAGAGCGAAACAATCCCAACAACAACAGAGGTAACAAACACAGCACCACCCAAGACGCTGTTAAGACCAACTTCTCCTTTATCTGTTCCAACAAAAGCAGCAATGCTTGCAAACACATCTGGTGCTCCATTACCAAGTGGAAGCAAAGTAACACCAGCAAGAGTTGGAGGCAGCCTCAAAAGCTTAGAAAGCTTCTCCAAGGAACAACAAAAGTAATCGGCAGCAGTATTGCCCAAGAGATAAAACAAAGCAACAAGCCAAACAGCCAAGATCATGTAACCCAAGATGCTGAAATTTCTGCAGGAGCAGTAAAAAAAGTTGAGGTAATCAAAGAATCCATCAGGGGAACAACTTGGGTTTGCTTTTAAGAACTCGCATTGATCAGCATATCCCATGTGTCTGTGTAACCCGGAGCATAAAACAGTATTGCTGCTACTCAAGCTGCTATTGCCAGAACCATTGGTTTCAATTTCAGTCACATGCCTACGAATTACCGTAAACTGGGTGAATTTACCTCCGGAGGTCGAACCACTGCCGCCATTGACGAAAGAAACGTCTTTCAACAAAGGGTTCCTGAGAATATCGCTCCGATCAAAGAAGAAGCAAAACAGAACGAGAGCACAAATCCCATTAAAAACCCCTCGGAATCTGGGGTTTTTCGAGCTGTAAAGAAAACTCAATGCGCTCATTTTCAAACCTTATATCAACAACAACCAACCATCGATGATCATAAACCCTGAACCTAACCGAATGAGAAAGGGGGCTAGGGTTTCTAACACGGTATTGAAATTTTGAACAAAAAAAAAAGAAAAGAACCCTAGGACCCCCAGGGGAAACGCAATTGAGGATCAGGTTGTAAATCTGGAATGAAACTTGTCGTCGTATTGAAACCTGGGGATTGAAAGATGGCAAAAGAACTTGGCGAAATGCAACAATGGTGTAGAATCTGCGCCTGTCAAAACAATGGTGATCAGGTTTAATTTGACACGGAATCATTTCAAACGACAGACGTGGCATTCTTTTCATTTTTATTTTTGTTAAAATTAAAATATTTTAGCATATCTACAAATTTAACTTTAGAACGTTCCGATCGGTATTTTATTTCTCGTAAGCACGACTTAAAAAACGTGTAAGCCGGATTATTAAAACGACAATAATTCATTCAGCTGACATCGCCTAGAGAGTGAAGATACTACTTAGTCGTGTGATAAGGCCTTCAATTCATTATATCTGTACATTTCCGACTATTGGATAAACAAAAAAGGAACTTTCATAAAGAAGACAGTCGATAAGTAGTGTACTGTAGTATTTACAACTGCAAAATACATTCTTTACCGCCAAAAAAGGAAGGAAAAAACAAGAAGAGGAGCTTTTAACATTTAAGGATGTTCAACTGTTAGCTCATGTATTAGCCGTTCGATCTGTCGTCTGTAGACAGGCATGAAATGATCGCTTATCATCCTCTGTGATAACCTCACTTTACTATACAATGACCTTGGCGTCAGAAATATTCCTACTCTTCCCTCCTCCACAGTCTCTACTACTGTCTCAGCCCTCTCCAGTGCACAACTGTCTTCTTCTTCTTCGTTAACCTCTACGGCCTCCCCCCGAACTGTGACAATATGCATTATTTTACCCGCCGGGAGGAACCTGCGCGACTCTTTCATGTCAGCCGTCTGGCTCTCAGGTGGAGCCACACCAGCCTCTGCAATGACAGCTTCTTCTTCTTCTTTGATTTCTTTTGCCACATCCGTTTCTTCAGCTTGCTCTGAAGACTCGTGGTAAAGGTCATGCTCCAGTTGCTCCCATAGCTCCGCTTCAGTCATCCGCTCTTCGCGTGTTTCGATTTCAGCTGGATCCTCACACTCATCAAGATCGGTGGCTCCCAGACGAGCAGATGTTTCATTGTAATTAGAAGAACACTCAGCTTCTGATTTCCATTCCCTGGTTATTTCTTCATCCGTAACAAGAAGAGGGTCTGAAGTTTCAGGTAAATCTTGTGACATTGCTTCAGAAGAATCTAACTGATGTTCCGAGTTTGATTGAGTAGCAGAGGGTCTGCGCCGAGGTCCCATACAGGACCAAGAAGATATGCTTAGTGCAGGACGGGTCAGCATGCTTTGAGCTCTTCTCATCACAACCTGCAGGAGTTTTGTTTTATTTTCAAAATTCTAAAAGACTTAATTTAATGTCAGAAGCAAATTCAGTGTTGTTTATTATTACCTGTGTGCCACTAGAAACTGGGCGTAACATTGCACCAGCACCGGCAACTTTTGCTTTGGCAGTGGCCATAGATGGCAGCCGTGATCCTAAAGCCGTCGCTGAGCGATAAACTGTACTGAGAATTCTTGTCCGTTCGATTTGATTTCTCAGATCATTTAGCCAAGCAGATGCTGTTACCTGAAGAGGTGGAAAGGGGAGAACAAATGGTTTCTCTCAAGAAAATACAATAAATGATTTCCCAAGTATATAAAGAAGCATAGAATATAGGGTCTAGGAAGCTAACCTCAGCACGCAAGTCATCTACTGCTGCAGCAGAAAATGTAGGCACCAGATCAGCTCCGTTTATGACAGATACAATGAAGTCATTCCCAGAGTCGGCTAATTCCCAAGTCATACAGGCAGCTGAAGAACATAGGAACAAAAGCTCAGTCTTATATCTTAAGAAGGTATCAACAGATATAACTGAAAATTATTTTGGATGAAAAACCTGGGGCAAATGTAACACATGTAGCTGTAGAGAGCATTTTCTGTTCCCGCAAAATATATGTTAGAAGTGCAGCTGTTCCACCGCCCAAAGAGTGACCTACGATCTGCCAAAAAAATGCAGAAAAATGTCAATATAAGGGACTAGAGACAGTCTTTAGTTTCTCACATAACAGGTTTTAGAAAAAGGTGAAATCAAGAATAGAGAAGCGGCTATATAAAGTACCTTGATTTTGTAATCTGGATATTGCTCAAGACCCTTGAGAAGACAAGGGGTGGCAAGTTTTGCTATACACCGGGCAGCAGCAACCATACCACAATGTGCATATCCTAAGACCAAATTGCTGACTCCCCTCTCGTTTACAACAGTATGATGGAATGGTACAATTGCTCCTGTTGCAGCTGTCAAGGTGTCCTTGATGCTATGCGTTCCACGGATCAACAATAGAAAACATTTTGTGTTGTGATCGACGAGAACTGTAAAAGCTGGCTTCAAAATCTACATGATGCAAAATTCACAAACTAATACTCAATTTCTATTGAAAAAACGTGCCTAAGAGTAGAGAGTTGTTAAAGTTTTACCCCAGCTTTGGGTTCGTGAATAAGGACGTTTTCCTTTGTAAAGCCGGTCTCTTCTAAGAACAATGGAAATGGCTTCTTGGAAAAATGCCAACACAATGTCAACAAGTGCAAAAGATATCTGAGTTCAGTGGCTACTTCAGGTCCTTTAAGCTCTATACTATCTTTACCACCAAAGACACGATCAACATGTAGAAGTCCCTGGGATTTTTAGACATACAATGCAAAATTTTCAATTTTGACCACAAGATAATTGATAAAATCTAGAACTTGTTATCGTGAAAGAGATCAAGAGATGTTTACCTGCCTCTTGAGGAGAAAATTGATCCCAAAAGCAAGATCTCCAATAGGCCACTTCCCAAGAGTCTCGGAGTAAGTAAAACGAAGAGTCTCAGAAAGAGTAGAAATTGTCTCCAACCAAGTCGCTGGAGCTTGGATAAGCCTATGCGAAACACGGTCAATCCTCAAAGAAGTACGAGTCTCAGAATTCTCATCATCAACATCAGATGGACCAGCTATTAATTTCCGATTCAAAGTGTAATATAGAAGAGCAGCTGCTCCAGCTGCGGTTGCCATAGTTGCAGTTGCCATGACCAACCTATCCCTAAAACATCAATGAAACGATTCAGTACCAGAAAAAGTAACGAAAATTACTCAATTGCTCATTAGAGCTTAGATGTCGAGTAATCTAAAGACGAAACTAAGTCTAAAATTAAAACAAAATCGATCTAACTACATTGGATGCTACAATTTCGATCTCCAGCACCAGAATCTCCAAAATCATGAAAAGCTAGACAATTGGAATACAATTTCGTAGAAAGGAACATTCTTTTTTTTTTTCCACGAAATATCCCCAAAAGAAATAAAAACACAAACTTGGGGTAAAAAAGACAGCTACCCATAAATAGAAAACTCTCACTTTCCTGAAATTTCTCGAATAACATAACAAACCCTACTCTTGATAAGTATTCGCGTTTTCAACCGATGCAAACAATCTGAAATTGAACACGATTGCGATTGCAAAGGAACAGGATCCGTGAAGTAAAGAAACAAAACCCTAAAATCGAATCGTAAGAACACGAAATAGAACCTGGAAAAGTAAGACGAAATTGTAGGGTTTTTTACAACAGTGGAGAAGGGTTAAACGGTTGCTTCAGCTTGTATGTACGATATATCCGGGAAGGGGGCTTTCTCTCCGACGACGACGACGATGATGATGATTAGCTACAAAAACGTGTTGCCAAGTGACAAACTGATTTCGATTTTGCTTTAAATAAACTGCGCTACGTTTTTATGCTGAGCAAACGCCGCGTAGTTTCGCGCCGCCAAGATCTGGTGCTAACGTGGCCATATATTAGTGGACGCTTAATTACATATGTAAACTGTATATATGAGAAGCCACATGTACATACATATATAGTTCAATCCTTTAGAAATCAAATTAGAACACAGTCACAACACAGATACAAATTAAAAAAATATTGAAATTTGTAAATTAGAAGAATTAACTAAATGTAGATTTTTTTATGTTCACTCATTTTTTTCCTCACAAGTCACAAATATGGTAAATAAATATATTTTGGAAGAAGATAAAACACAAATTCCCAATTTGTTAATAATATACATATTTGAGAGGGAAAAAAATTAATATTTAATTGGGAAAGTGGCTGAAGTATAATTTATCGAGTTTAGAGAAATCTCGGACACTTGAGCTCGCGTAGTTTCTTCGAATTTTCACACCCAAGTGTGATCGGATCTGGGTTTTATATATTTTTTTTGACGAATCCGTGTCCCAATCTTCGATCTGGTGTAGAAAGTCCCAATTTTTTTTTTAATCCCTTATCTCAATTTAAACCCTTTTAGTCAAAACCCTAATTTCCGCCTTTCTATCAGAATTTCGAGGAGTAGCCCAATCGTATAATATAATCTCTTCAGCTAGAATCTGAGCTCATTATTCCGGTTTGTGTTTTATAGAAAAGACCGAAACTTTTCGTCAATTCCAAGCGGGGACAGAGTCAGTGAGCGATGTCTTGGGCTGGTCCTGAGGATATCTATCTTTCAACCTCACTCGCTAGTTATCTCGATAGTAATCCGTCCCTCTTTCCTCTCTGATTTACATGCATTCGCGGAGCTTTTTTTTCTTGCCAACAATTCAGTGTTGCTTGCGTTTGATTTTTTGAGTTCTTAATTGATAATTAGGCTGTACTGTATTGTTCTGCTTCCTTATTCAAAGCTTTGTCAATTTTGCTGTTGAATTGTCACAAAGAGACACTCTTTGATTAATAGATTCAATCTTCAAAGCTTTTAGTTTATTTGTTGTGTCAAATCTGTATGTTCTTCAGCTAATTATGTTGAGCTTTTAGCATGCATAAGATATAATGTGATGAGATTGCATTTCACATTCTTGATTCAACTTCTGGAGTGACACTCGTAACCTGTGTCGAATTTGATTCATTATCGGCTGTAGAATCCAAATTCGACTTCTTTTCGATATGTTTGAAGATTCAGAATCCTCATTTTGCAGATGTTTTTCAGACCTCATTTAGAGTTAGGTTTGCTTTTAGCTTTCAATCAATGTACATCAGCTACTTATATTTGTTGGCTCTGTTCTTGACGATGCAGGAAAACTACTTGTGCTCCTTAGAGATGGTAGAAAGCTGATGGGAACACTCCGTTCTTTTGATCAATTCGGTACTCACATTTCTCTTCATGCTCCTACATTATTATGGCATTGTTTATAGGAGAGAGAGATTTAAACTGTAATTTGTTTGTTGTAAATTCATAGCCAATGCGGTTCTAGAAGGTGCGTGCGAGAGGGTAATTGTTGGTGAACAATACTGCGACATTCCTTTAGGCCTCTATGTAATCCGTGGAGAGAATGTTGTCCTGATTGGTGAGCTGGTAAGACTTCTCTTTTCTTTTTCTTTTTTTTTTCTTTTTTGGCTATCTCACTTTGTGTTTTCCAGATCACTGAGTTAGCATTAAACCATGTGTGTTAGGACACGGAGAGAGAAGAGCTTCCTCCTAATATGATTCGCGTTTCAGAGGCAGAGATTAAAAGGGTAAGGCGTCACATCACATGTTCTAACTTTCACATATATGTAACAAATTGAGCAGTAAGATTTGTTACATGTGATGTTGTGTGCGTACTGATGATTTGGTTTTGGGAAACTTTCTGTGTTGGTTTAGGCGCAAAAGGTGGAGAGGGAAGCGAGTGAGCTGAGAGGAACAATGAGGAAGAGGATGGAGTTCCTTGACTTTGATTAAACCAGATTGCGTCCCCATTCATTCTTGGCTTGATGCTCTGCTTTGGCTCGCAAGTTTTATGATGAGCCTTTTTTGTGTGTTAATTTAGGGGATCGACGCAAGTCTTTATGTTTCATTTTGGAAGAAAATATGACAAAAAATAATCTCTGTCTACTTCTGTCTTCGGATCTATATTATCTTTTCAAGAGAAAAATATTTTGGAGTTTTTTTTTCCTCATCTTGGAAATTATGTAGAGATTGGATGATATCTTACCGAAATCAAGACTTTTAAGACTATTCGGTTTTGAATTTGAGGTTCCGAGAAGCCTAAACGTTGGCTAACACTTGCAGTAAACAGACTTGCTATGGTTCTGCTTCCCAGGATAGATACAAGATATGCAAGAAGGGTTATAACCAAACTGCACAGACAGAAACGAAAATGGAGCAAAAAAATAGAAGACGTGGAACATTGCAAAATTTACATGGTACTTGTTGGTTCTGTGACCAATCAGGACTTTGGTTAAAAGAAGACATAGAAGACATATAACACAAACAACAACACACAAATATATGTTTACCTGGAGATTATTCCATCGGGCTGAAACCTTGTGAATAACAGGTCTATTCTATGACATCCTAAAGTGGGACGTGGCTGAAAAAAAAAAAGAAAAAAAAAAGAAGATGAATGTTCGTTTTCTTGTTATCTTCTTTTATCGCCTCCTCAAGTGTGGTGGTGTAGTATATCCTTCGAAGAAATCTAGAACGATTGTCTCGATATCTTCAACCGAGTATTTCAAGTAGTTCTCGGGGTGTCTTCCACTCTCTATATGACCCCTGAACCTTCCAAGAAACGATCTGTAAGCCGGGATAAGATGCTCAGATAGAGATATTCGGAGTTCCTCTCTAAGCTGTACATCTGGAACCGACCATGTAGACTGAGTCCTGTGAACCTCTTCGAACATTGTATTGAATGCCTTAAACCTTTCTCTCAGTGCGCTTTTTGATACACCTGATGAGAAACTCCCAGTCACATGTAATCCTTCATCTCTCAGGCTATTCAGTACTCTCACCCATGTAGCTCTCTGGTAGTTTGTAGCAGCATGTCTAAATATCCCAGTGAGTTTCCTTAAATAATGGTCTCCAATCATTTCTCTTAGCTCAGGCGACCTTTTCACTTTCTGAACGATGTAATGGATGTTGTTCATGATGAATATGTGAGCTAGAGATGTGTCTCTATAGTGCTTGGATTTCTCTTCTAAGTTGAAATGCAAGACCACGATCAACCAAATCAAATGCAAATCCAATGGAGATTTACTCTCTAACTCTGTGAAGTCCATATCCGGTGCATTTGGATCAGAGCCAGTAGCGGGATTCGACATGATAAGCTCATCCAGCGTTTGCTTATAATCAGAGATCATAACAATGTAGTTCATCACATACCTTGTCAATGGATGAATCGTTCCTCCAGGGACAGGAACTATGGAAGGCTCACGAAGAACAGCATTCTCAAACTCGGAAAGTATACCTCTAGCTGCTTCCGCTAGTCTCGCTTGAATCTCAACGGCCTGAACCCTAATAGTATCTGATGAATCTGAGTCAAAGATTGCTTCTATATCAGGCAACATATCCGTTAAGGCATCGTGTAAATCCAGAATCTTGAAAAGCTTGTCAGGTGATCTTCTACTAATGCTAATAGCTTCAGGGAAAGTGAAAAGTCTCAGAGCAGAAGCCTTCACTGTCTCCATGAAGCAAGTCTCATCCATGGCAGTGCATATACCATCAAACAGCTGCTCACATAGCCTCTTCTCACTGGAGAATACAATCCTAATACAGACCTTAGCAGCACGGATCCAGTGTCTGATCTTGCCTACAACAGCTTCCCAGTCAAGCCTCTGCACATCTCCGATGCTTATCTTCACAATCCCAAGCTGCTTAAATATGGTTTCCATGGCTGACTTCCGAACAGTTCCGTAGACTTGGATACACTCACGAGAGTAACCGGCGGCGACCATTCGCTGAACAATCGATCTAAGATCAGAGATAGCCTCCGGAGTGATAAGATCCATTTCTCGTATGCTGCTCGTGGATCTGTAACTGCTTCTTCTACGAGTTAAGCGGCCAGAACCGGAACCACCAGGGGAGTTCAACTCCTCTTCTTCGGGAGTTGCGGAGCTATCATCATCTCCAGCCTCGACGCATAAAGACGGAGAGACTGATGATTCCTCGAGAAAAAGTGAATCAGGCTCGAAAACAGTTGTGTGGGAGAGAAGAATGTTACGGAACTCGTCTTCGAGTCTAGCCATGGCGATTTGGATAGCTGAGTTAGCTTTGACCTCGTGGTCATCGACGGCGGCGGCGGCGGAGGAGGAGGAAGAAGAAGAGAAGGAGATAGAAGATAAGGTGCGCTGGATTTCATCAACGGCTCGTAGGAACCGATCGACTTCATCACGATCGCTTTGGAAAATCATCTTCCCTCTTGCTTCCTCAGACGCCGCTGAGTCCCACCGGAGTATAATCCTCTGCGCACTCTCTAACTTCGAACCATCGGAATCTATACTATTCTCCGGCGGTTCCATCTATTAATCAATCAGACAAACAACAACAACGACAAAATTCAAAAAAACAGAACAAAAAAAAAAAAAAAAAAAAACAAGAAGAACAAAATTGAGTCATTCTCACTCACCTCCACCGATTCAAATTAGGTATTCTTCTTCGGAGATTGGTCGATTTCTTTTTGGTAAGAAACCACTTCGATTGTTTTTTTTTTTTTTTTTTCCTTACTTTCTTATCACAAGTCTTTATTAGTCATATAAGGCAAAGCTGTCTGATTGTATTGTTTTTTTTTTTTTTTAATTTTCCATTTTGGAAGTTTCTGCGAGAGAGAGTTGGGAAATCGGAAAAGAAAAGAAAATAAAGATCAATCTCTTTGGACTTTTCAACTCCTCCTCCCTCTTGTGTGTATACGTTTGCCAAACAATTCAGAATTACTCGCCGGCGGCGTAAAAATGCCCGGTAAAAATTAAAATTTTTGGTCTGAATAAATAAAAAATTGGGTGAGAGTCAGAGAGATCTGTAATGCTATAATGCCTAAATGAAAAGAGACACATATCTAGATATATCCAATGCAATCATGTCTTAATATTATGATTATCTTCCCATTTTTTTTTTTTTTTTTTTTTTTATAGTGGGATCACTTACTTAAGCCAGTAATTTTGGAAACTATCTTATCAATCTATATATGATGTCATAATGCAATATTTTAGTTTCTAGTGTATTTGTTTCGTTGCTGATAAATTTCGGATTTTTTTCTTCTTCTTTACACATTTAAGTTTTTTTTTTAAAGTTGATCTAAAGTGCTATGACGTGATTGGACCTTGTTGTAATCAAAATATAATTACCTCTACAATGTGCGTACAATTTTTTTTGGTCAAAGAATTTCAAAATTGGGATTATAATGGAGACGTTTTATAAGTTTTTTCTGGGGAGAATAGTCGAAAAAACCCAGCTAAGATATAAATGTGTACATTGTCAAACGTCATAATAATGAGATGTGGTTGGTGGACCATACTTGATTTTAATCGACCTATAATTTAAGTTAGTATATACTACTAAGTACAAGTTGTAGTGAATATTTAAGGTTATTCAATGTTTGAAGAATTAGGTTTATGTTTAACAATTATAATGATATATATATATCATATTGTATTAAAAATCATATTGTATATATATATATATATATATATATATATATATATATAACCAGAGGATCTGATTTTTCAAAAGAAAAAAGAAGATGATAAATACAATATGATTTTTTATTTCAAGTACCTGAACTTAGACTATGAGCTCCAATAAAATTTCATGGAATCAGTCACAAAGACAAATACTAACCTAATGTTTAATGATATATATTACAGTATTACACGCTTGGGTCCACGGATCAAGTTAGTCAGAAAATAGTGGTCCCTCGACGTCACTTAAATATGGGCCTGGGCCTGTTAATGGGCTGTATTATTATTGGCTGTCACCAAAGAATGAATGATCGCCACAATGCTGTAACGTTAGTTTCATCTCAGTTCTTGTCTGAAAATGAGCAATAAAATAAATCGAGCTATAAATAGTTCACTTGTGCCGCACGGTCCCTCTCTTCTTCTACGGACAGCTTCTTTCTCTTTCCTCTCTGATTTCTTTTTTTTTTTTTCTCTTTCTTCCTTTTTCCCTTTTTTTTTTTTAATTTTTTTTTTTTTTTTTTTGGGTTAGTTTTTTTTTCTTTCTCCATCTCGTGAGCGATAGTACCTGAACCCTAGCGGAAAAATCAAAATCTTTCTGGGAGAAACAAAACATATATCTTTCTTTTCATCGCAGTAAGAGGAAGAAAAAAAATGCAGAATCCGAGACTGAAGCAACATCAACAGCAACAGCAACAAGCTTTGATGCAGCAACAAGCTCTGATGCAGCAACACTCTCTTTACCATCCTGGTGTTTTGGCTCCTCCTCAGGTTTTTTTCTTTTTATTGTTCTACCTTTTTACATCTTCGATGTGTCTAATTTTGGTCGAAACTAGAGTTCGTTTAAGTTTTTTTTTTTTTAATTAATTCCATCTCTACACTATCATATCTCTCTCGTGGGTCCTTTTATTCCGGGTCGGGTTTAGTTTGTGTTCATCATTTGTAGATTGGCTCGTTCGAACGGGCTGTGTCTTTTGTGTTCCCTTTTAATACTTTATTGAACGGAAGGCTAGGGTTTCCAGATCCTGTAGCCAGGCTAACAATTCGTTCCTTTATCTTTTTGTCTGTTTAGTTTTTGTTGGGTCATTACCAAATTGAGCTGATATTTACCATCTCAAGAATTACTTTGGTCTCATGGGGATAGAAAAGGAATGATTTTTTCTTTTTCTGCAGCCATCCATTTTCAAAATTTGATTTTTTTTTTTTTTTTTTTGTGTGTGTCATACTTTTGGCATTTGCAGTTAGAGCCTGTTCCAAGTGGAAACCTTCCTCCTGGTTTTGATCCAAGTACTTGCCGTAGCGTGTGAGTGAATTGGTTTTCAGCATTTCTTTGTTTTGAACGTGTAGCTCTGAGTGTGTGTTTTAACTCTTCTATAATCGTTCTAATATTGGCAGGTATGTTGGAAATATTCATACACAAGTCACAGAGCCTCTGCTTCAAGAGATTTTTACTAGCACTGGCCCTGTTGAAAGCAGTAAACTCATCAGGAAGGATAAGGTAGTGAGATTCGAAATCCACCTGTTTTCTACTTCTATTGTGTGTGTGTTGAGATTGTGAAAGTGACCGTCTTTTTTTTATAGTTTCTTGTTTTAGACTAGCATAACCAAACAATTGCCTAGTTGTATGCATAAGGAAAACTCTCTACCTGCTGCTCTGTTTAGGTTGGATTTCTCAAGCTTTCTAAAAGTGGACACACTCACAAAATTGTATTTTTTTCTGATTTCAGTCATCATATGGATTTGTCCACTACTTTGACCGTAGATCCGCTGCTCTGGCTATACTGTCTCTGAATGGAAGGCATTTGTAAGGAACAATTTTCATAGTTCTGTTCTATAACTATTCTTCAAACTAATTCACTTAGGTTATAATACTTGAGTTTCACAGGTTTGGACAGCCTATCAAAGTCAATTGGGCGTATGCCACTGGTCAGAGGGAAGACACTTCAAGTAAGTTTTGATTTCTTCTAAGATTTGCATTTTGTTTGTTTGAAATGCTCATCAATGCTTTTGTTTCTGGACGAGTTGCAGGCCATTTCAACATTTTTGTTGGAGACCTCAGTCCTGAGGTTACTGACGCTACATTATATCAAAGCTTTTCTGTTTTTTCCACTTGTTCGTAAGTTCTCATGCTTGATCAACCACTTTCTTAAAGAATTACAACATTCTCCCTTAAACGATTCTACTATTGATTAGACGAAAATCTAGTGAAATGATTCTGATGTACTTAAAACTCTTGGAATTACAAAATTCTCCTATTGATCAAGCTTATCTGCTGAAACATCCCATGATCCAACTCGTAATCTTGAACTGAGTCTAATATCAGTGTTCACTTGAAGGGATGCAAGAGTTATGTGGGACCAGAAAACTGGGCGCTCAAGAGGCTTTGGGTTTGTTTCCTTCCGCAATCAACAGGTAATGTATATTCTTTAAATCATGCGGTGACTACTTGTTTTAGCTCAAGAATTTTTTGTTGTTTATATTAATGTTACATGTTGATTTCATTTGCAGGATGCTCAAACTGCCATTAATGAAATGAATGGTAAGGATTGTATAGTAGCTGAGATCTCAGGACTTTCATTCTCATTTGTGAACTATGCCTCCTCGATTCTGAACTTTGTAGAAATTGCATGCAACTGCATGATACCGTACCTAGAAAGAGATTATGAGTTTTCTTGATTATTAGTCAAGAACTGCTAAAATTTATATAGTTTCTGTTTCATTGAGGCCTAACTTATAGAACTGACTTTGTGTCTTTATTCTTAGCAATTAACCGTTGATTTTACCACATTTTGCAGGTAAGTGGTTAAGTAGTAGACAGATCAGATGCAACTGGGCCACGAAGGGTGCTACTTCTGGTGAGGATAAGCACAGTTCTGATGGAAAAAGTGTTGTAGAACTTACCACTGGCTCATCAGGTTGTTCTTCTATGACTGCAAATTCTGCATTTTTTTCTTTCTCATGCAAGTGGATTTGTGAATATACATTGAGTTTCTCTGGGTAATATGAAAAACTCATAGCTAACAAAGCTACATTGGTCGTTTAATTGTGCAGAGGATGGTAAAGAGACCTTAAATGAGGAAGCACCTGAAAACAATTCTCAGTTTACCACTGTTTATGTGGGAAACCTTGCTCCAGAGGTGTGTTTATCCGCTAGGAAGTGCTCCTTGTAACTTGGATCACTATCACAATAAAAACAGTTCTGTTGAGGCTCTTTGAAGAATTATTGCGTCAGTAAATTTCGGGTTTACCATGACAACTATGTATTTTGCAGGTAACTCAGCTTGATCTACACCGCTACTTCCATGCTCTTGGCGCTGGAGTTATTGAAGAGGTCCGTGTCCAACGAGACAAAGGCTTTGGTTTTGTGAGATATAATACGCATCCCGAGGCTGCTCTTGCTATTCAGATGGGTAACAGTCAGCCGTACCTCTTTAACAGACAGATAAAGGTACTATAAGTTTGGTTTACCAGAAAAGAAAAACCCCTCTGTTTGATCATACTGTTCCTGACAATTGCTTCATCTGAGACTTTGCATGTAATCTGACATTTGATTTTGTTAATTGTAGTGCTCATGGGGAAATAAGCCAACTCCACCTGGTACAGCCTCAAACCCACTTCCCCCACCTGCCCCAGCACCAGTGCCTGGTCTGTCTGCAGCTGATCTCTTAGCGTATGAGAGGCAATTGGCACTAAGCAAGATGGCTAGTGTGAACGCCTTGATGCATCCACAAGGTCAACACCCTCTAAGGCAGGCAGCTCATGGAATGAATGCAGCTGGAGTGACTGCAGCCATGTACGATGGTGGCTTTCAGAATGTAGCCGCTGCACAACAGCTCATGTACTATCAGTAATAAACCTCAGATCGTGGCACTGAACTTTTTCAATCTCTTTGCTTTTCTTTCTTTTCTTTTTCCTTTTTCTAGAACTTGTTTGTGTGTGTTTGTCATCTCTCACTTAAGCTATCTATATAAAGTTTTATCTGCGGCTGTATGCTTAGTTATGTATCCCCATGGATTGTACGACAAGCAAATTACATTAAATAAAAGGGATTTGGATATCCATTTTATGTGATTTGACATGAACACAAACAGACAACAAAGGATATTGCGGAAGAATCAGTCCGTCTCTAACCGAGCAATGTATGTATCATAGAAATTTCCAGCTTTCTCGAGATCTCCCAGCTCAGTATAACAGTCTGCAATAGCTCCATATGCTTCAGTGGTTCCAGAATCTTCGCCCTCCCTCTTTGAGATGGCCAGAACCATGGAGTGATACTGTATGGCTTCTCTATACTTCCCTTGGCGTTGCAGTGAGGCGCCTAAGCCTCTTGCAGCTTTCTTTTCTTCAGTGGGGTCTCCTAGACTCTGTGCAAGTTCCAGAGCTATCTTGAACTCAGCATACGCTTTCTCTGGTTCTTGATTTCTAAGAAAGGTTTTTCCTGTTTTCAACTTGGAAATCAACTCATGTTTCTTTGGGTCCACAATGATTTCACTCTCTGGGATCCTTGCTCCCACTGGGGCATAACTCAAGCTTGGTGCATATGACTCAATTTTCGCTTGTCTCCTAAGAGCTGCGTTAATCTGTCGTAGTTGTTCATTCAACCTCTGTAACTCCCCTTTCCTCTGCCGAGCAAGCAACCCTGGTTTGTGTATCATGAGAATTATTATCAAAACCCCTAATGAGCACAGTTAATAGAAGCATAGTCTGAAGAGAAGACTAATTACTACCTCCAACGGTGGCTCCAATTAAAGCTACAAGTAACAAAATTGGCATGCTAAACATGGAGCTCTCTGGTTCACATGTCTCAGCAGCCAAAGCTTCAAGTGGTGTAGCCATCTGTAGGGAGTTTGTAAACAACAATGCCATCACCGGTAATTTGAGCCTGCCAATTCCCTGCCACATCCATATCTAAAGGCTTACTATAACAACGAAAAAACTTGACAACAAATATAAAACGAGTCAAACACTATCCGGGTATTCAAGCAATGGAATCCTCATAGTATACAGTGGGATATAGCTAAACATCCCGGAACCCACCAACCTACCTCAAAAGTTGACAACTTTTCCACACTGGAAAATGGTGTCTGTAAGACTCCTCTGCCCTCGCACTCCTTGGGCTGAGAAGACGAATGTATAATTTTGGAGAAAGGATGATGATCCCCAGGTTTCCTGACTAGTAAATTTCCAAGCCTTGAAAAAAGCAATGGCGAAATGGCTGAAATCCAGTAAAAGATAACTTCATCAGTAACCACGAATTGATAATTATTTTGAAATGATCTAAAACGAAAAATATGACAGGCTTGAACTAGTTTTAGGAATGCAACAATCCATGAAAGCCATCAAATTCGTTTACTTGCAAGCTCCTCAACTACCTCTTCAGGTGTATAAGATTCACGTATTCAGGGACTTCTTGCGACACGGCTATGGAGATGTATCACAATGATAAACAAAGATCTCACCAAGAATACAAATGAGAACAACACAACAGGAAATCACGACAGAGTAAAAGATGCTTCTAAGAGTTGGGACTTGGGAGGCATAATTAAGCTACACACTCATCTTATGGCACAAAATTATGGAATCTCCCAAACTAAAACCAACTTCCCCGTTCCTTATCCTAAACCATCGGAGCAGACTTCTATGGACATAATGCGAGTACTCAGCAACATAATCACTCCAAAAACCTAGTTCAGTCTCCGACATTCTGATGACTCATCACCAAAAGAGGATCACTTACACACCAACAGAGACTCTTAAATTGGAAATCTGATTCAGCTAGTGAACTATGAGCTAACCTGGACCTTGAGACTTGTGGCGGGGCAGTGGTTGGCCACCGGAAGTCTGGGAGAAGGAGGAGCAACACCGGATAAGCGCCGCCATCTCTAAAGAAAGCTCTCTGAAGATAAAACAACGCCTTGGGAGCTTATCAAAGAACTCGTTTCCGCTAGTCTGTTTTTGTGAAACTCGTGCCTATACTGCCCCTATTTTGCAATTTTAAATTCCAGTTATAACCTTTCTTAATGAGCTTGAAAGATGAAACGCAGCGTCTTTTTACACTGTTCTGTGCTTGTGTATCGTAGCATCTGTCTTCCCACTGGGCGGGGGAGTTTTTAGAGGGTTTTAGATTTCGACGACTTCAAAACCTAATCGACGCTCAAGCTTTGCCGAGCTTCTGCTACTTGAATTGTTTTCTCAGTTCCTTTTTTACAGCACTTGGGTTTAGTTTTCGTTGGCGAAGAAATGGACATGGATATGGACACTTCTCCTAGCTACTTCGACCCCGAGGCTCTTAGTGTTCGGGATCAATTCCGTCGTTATCGGTAAATATTTCGACTACCCTTTTTCCGATTTGGATTACTATTCTCGATTTTCTGGGTTGGATTTTAAGTGGTTTTTCCTTTTTTTTTTTTTTTTTTTTTTGTGGGTTGTCGTTTGTTTGTAAAATAAGTAGAGTCTAAATCAGCGGAATGTAATCAAGGCTTGAACGAGATTTTTCTCGAAGGGTCCGGAATTTTGTTCTCCGATGAGCTGAAACTCCTGTTAGGGTTTATGGTTTCAGTTTATAAATCTGCGTATGGTTTTATTTCAATAAATAAGAATTAGTATTGAAAACAATTTCTATTCTTTGTTTCGTGTTAGTCTGCATTGATGTGTATTGTTTAACCACTTCATTTGCGTGTTCTGAGGTATAACATTTTGATGCCCCTGTGTACAATGCTTGCAGAAAGAGACACTCTACATCCCCACATGAGGAAATCTTGAGTTCAAATGTCCGTGAGAACAGATTACTCTATGATGGGCATAACATCCATAGTCCAACAAATACAGCTTTGCTTCTTGAAAACATTAAGGAGGAGGTTGACAATTTTCACACCGATCATTACGATGGAGCACATACAAACCCGATATCTGCTTCCAGGGCGGAGAGTGTTGGAATTCTGGATGATGATAATGAGTCTTTGTTTCGTCAAGTAGAAAGTCAATCACTGAAGGCTTGCAAGATTGAGAATGATGAGTTAGCTGAGAGTGGAGATACAACTTTTGCTTTGTTTGCTTCTCTATTTGATTCTGCACTTCAAGGTTTGTATGATATATTAGTCTTCTTATAAGTTATGTGCATGTATATACACGAATATGCAGATATTTGGATCTGTTTCTGCATGCATTTATGTGGTTCTCATTCTTTCAAAATATCAACTAAGCTATGTATCTACCTTTTGTGTGCTGTGGGAGTCCCTTTACTTATTATTGTCCCATTATTATTTGGTTATCTCTTATTGCAATTATGATGTCTTGGTTCTGCAGGATTAATAACCATTCCAGATCTAATATTGAGACTTGAGGAATCATGCAGGAATGTTTCACAATCAATTAGGTATGTCTTCTGACTCTAGAGTCTAGAGTTTAACCGTCAGAACTTCTTCAACTTTAATTATTTTGTTTGTTTTTCATGCCTTTCCGGTATCTACAGATATGGATCAGATATTAGACATCGTGTTGTGGAGGATAAACTTATGAGACAGAAGGCTCAGCTTTTGCTTGGTGAGGCTGCCTCCTGGTCACTGTTATGGAACCTATATGGAAAAGGTTTGGAAACTCAACTCCATCATTCTATTGCTTTGGCCGTTTAGGAATAGGGTAGGCGACTAGGCGTTGTGTTCATTTTGATTATTGATGTCTGTCAAAGCTATGTGCCTACCTGGAATATATTCAATTAAATTACTGGGTGGTTTGTGTTAGAAATGGTATAATCGATCATGTGTCTTTGCTCGTGCAGTTACTGAACAATTAAATTACTGTTTGGAAACTCAACTCCATCATTCTATTGCTTTGGCCGTTTAGGAATAGGGTAGGCGACTAGGCGTTGTGTTCATTTTGATTACTGATGTCTGTCAAAGCTATGTGCCTACCTGGAATATATTCAATTAAATTACTGGGTGGTTTGTGTTAGAAATGGTATAATCGATCATGTGTCTTTGCTCGTGCAGTTACTGAACAAGTTCCAGAGGAACTGATCCTGGTAAGCCTTCTTTCGTAATCGTTTTTCAAATGAATTATTCATATTTGATACATCTTACGCCGTGGACTTATTTGATTATGTTGAATGTCGTTAGTCGCCATCAACATCTCATTTGGAGGCTTGTCAGTTTGTTGTAAACGACCATACAGCTCAGCTATGCCTTCGGATAGTCTTGTGGCTTGAAGAACTGGCTTCAAAATCACTTGAATTGGAAAGGAAGGTGGGTATTCCAGTATATCCTTTTTCAATATATTTGTTTACCATTGCCATTTTGGCATGATACTTGATTGGTTGATCTGGTCTGGTCATGTTTGCATTCCTAGGTTGGGATCATATGTAGGAACATTAATAATCTCGGTAATTGCAGTGAAGATCTTTTAACTTTCACAAACATAAGTTGAGCAAAACGGTTGCTGCATTTTCTTTTCTAGTAGTGAATTCGCTCTGCACCTAGAGATATAGCTATTGTTTCTGAAAGCAAAGTCTGTAGTTTGTATCCGTACTTGTCATAAATTGTGGGTGTTGGTACTGTTTCCTAGGCTTTTTTCTACTTAAGTGAAAAATTGTGTGATGAACCCCCAAATTGATAGAGGTGATTACACTATATTAGAATTTGCTTACCAGAAAATGTTAATGTTCTCAGGTGCGGGGATCTCATGTGGGTACTTATCTTCCAAACGCTGGAGTGTGGCATCATACACAAAGATATCTCAAGAAAAATGGCTCTGGCAGTGACACTGTACACCATCTGGATTTTGATGCTCCAACACGTGAACATGCCCGCCTTCTTCCTGATGACAATGTAAGCCTGTTCAGCTATGGTTGGCATTAGGTTCGTCTAAATTATTAGTGCTGATGTGCATGTTTTAACATTTCAATATTCATTCAATATCAAATACATGGTATACATGAAAAAATGTTGGTGGGACTGTACTTAAAGCAATGTAAATGTGGATGAGAAGGGTTACATATGTTTTTTCAGAAGAGAAGGGTTACATATATTTTTCCAGAACATCCGCCTATTTTTTCATATAAGATTTGATTCTCAGTTATTTATCTAACTGGCCTGCTCTAGGGCGTATCACATAGCAGTTCTAACTGCATATTTTGTTTGTTGTAGTTTCCCTGTGGATGCCTATATCTATACTGTGAGGGTCATATTTCGTTTTGATAATCACTGTTAAATAAAATTACTATCTACAACTTTTTTTGGCAGAAACAAGATGAATCTGTTCTTGAGGATGTTTGGACTTTGATAAGGGCTGGAAGAATAGAAGAGGCATGTGATCTCTGCAGGTCCGCTGGGCAGGTAATATTTATAAGGGTATGAATTTTCAAAGGATACTGATTAGTAAGGTGTGTAGCGATAATGTCGATTTGTATTTCTACTTTGGCAGCCATGGAGAGCTGCAACTTTATGCCCTTTTTCTGGAATGGACATGTTTCCTTCTGTTGAGGCCTTAATAAAGAATGGGAAAAATAGGACTCTCCAGGCCATCGAGCAGGAAAGTGGCTTTGGCAATCAACTGCGTCTTTGGAAATGGGCGTCCTACTGTGCATCAGAGGTAATACAGAATCTGGATAGTTTATTGCTTTTTGATGAATTTGAAAAAAAATCTCTCTCAGAGAAACATAACTTACTATTTTCCTTCATTTGTTTCTAAAGAAAATTGCAGAGCAGGATGGCGGAAAACATGAAGTTGCTGTTTTTGCAACACGATGTAGCAACCTGAACCGCATGTTACCAGTTTGTACCGATTGGGAGGTAAGGGCAGGCACATTTGTATAATCAGATTGATTTATTTAGCACATTCCTACTTTGCTTGCTTGGCTACCATTTTTTTATTTAAATTAATGGTACTGTTAACATTTTTTCTTGCTTGTCTTGCCAAATTCTCAGCGTAATATTTTAAGGTGCTTATATGAAAGGTCATTTCGTCTTAAGTTATCACCCTGCACATGTGTCCCTGTCGAATTGATTTATCACTCATAAAATTTGTTTAAAGATGGTTATAGTCATTTACAATATTTTTTTTAGTCGCTACCATTCCTATGAATTTTTTTATGAAACTGGAAACTGCTGTCTTCCTCTAACTTGTTCCATAGCGTACTTTGGTGCTGCACGCATTGACATTGTTTAGCGGTGATGGTGATTTTTCTGCAGTCAGCTTGCTGGGCTATGGCAAAATCTTGGCTTGATGTTCAGGTTGATCTTGAACTCGCCCAATCAAAGCCAGGGTTGACAGAAAGGTTTAGAAGCTGCATTGATGAAAGTCCGGAAACTATGCAAAATGGTTGTCAGTCTTCACTTGGGCCAGAAGATTGGCCCCTCCATGTTCTAAACCAACAACCCCGTGACCTTCCTGCGCTTCTTCAGAAACTCCATTCAGGGTATGAATGAGACTATTGGGAAATTTTCTATTTGTCCTTTCTGTAAAGAGCTACTGCCCAACTTACTGTTTTGTCCCTGACATAGGGAAATGGTGCATGAAGCTGTTGTCAGAGGATGCAAAGAGCAGCACCGGCAAATTCAGGTATTTTAATAGCCAAAGATTTTTCTGTTAAGTATTATGTGCGTAGTCATCTCTAATACTTTCTTTTGGCAGATGAACCTTATGTTGGGTGATATATCACATCTTCTTGATATCATATGGTCATGGATAGCGCCCTTAGAAGATGATCAAAGCAACTTCAGGCAATCAATAATTTTTCTTCAGAGAGCTCTATTTCTATGAAAAATTATGGATAATGTGTTGATTGTATCCTAGCATTTTCTTTCGAATTAACAAAAATTCCCAACTCAGGGAGGCTGTGGTAGGGGTCTCGTAATGACAATCTTTTGATTGTCGGATCCTATTTGCTAAAGTTTCTTGGTTATCTATAAGATGACAGATATGTGTTTACAGCATTGCTATA